ACATGCACTTTTAATTAAAGGACCCATTCATGTTCATTACGGTAGAAAACTTGGCTAGAGGAGAGGGCCGTCTATCCCAATAATCTAGCAAAAAAAAAAACAAAGTCCCCGGCCCATGATCGACTGACTTGTTTCGACAGCATTTTATTTCATTGCGGAATGCTCCCGAAAGCCCCCGTCTTGCTGTGTTCGTGTCCCACCACGTCACTGTGTGTTACTATAGCGTACTAGAATATGGGGTAGTGTGTTCAGGGAGGAGCCGTGGCTGCCGCAGTTGGTATCGACAGCCACGAGATGGCGCCACCATAGAATGGGCTGTCAAATAACGCATTGCCCTTTATGCACTTCTGTGCTTTGATATTAGTAATAGCAGGGGTTTAACGTCCCAAAACCACCGTATGATTATGAGAGACGCCGTAGAGGAGTGCTCCGGAAACTTCGACCACCTGGGGAGCAAAGGGTCTGCTAATTTTACCGCGAAAGCTGTTATGAGATCACTTTTCGGGTCACGCGCAGTTGCATGTTGTCCGCCGCCCTCGCCACCACCGGTGTCCGTAACCACATCACGCGAAATTAGAAAAAAAGAATCGGCAGATCCCACGTATCTGGGAATCGACGTTATGCGAAGCACGCGGAGAGAAGGTGACCAGGTTTCATTTTTTTTTTTTTTTTTACTGAGCGACACTTCCTGAAACGACGCTAAATATATGTACAAATGTTGCACGCACAGACATATGTTGTAGAGTTGCAGATGTTAAAATAACCAGTTGTTCGTACTTCCACAACGAAGCCAAGGTGAGCATGCGTATTAGCAACACCAGAAGCTGATATGAAGCGCTGATGCTCGCGAGGATGCTGGCCCTGGACGCTGCTACATAAATAAACTTCAGCACGTGGCAGCTAACAACAATTGACTGACGGCTGTATCAAAGCAGTACATATGTAATGTTTATAAAATAAGGTAGGCAGCACTGCAACCACTATTGACGTTTCACGAAGATTGGCATCTGTTTGAAAAGTAGCTCCGTGACCTGGCGTAGCTCTGTGGTAAAATTTTTCATTACCACGCAGAATGGTTGAGTTCGATCCCAGCTGGGACCCTGACATTTATTATTTGCATTTGTCAGGCATTTTTTAACGCTCACGCGTTAAAATTGTCCATGTGTGTTCTCGTCGTTCCTAGGTAGATAATACGTGTCATTCGCCTGTGGCACATACCCGCATACCCACGGCACATACTCGCCCATGGGTATGTGCCACTGTCGGGCGGGAATTGTTTGACGACGTACGCGACGGGATTGTGGCATCATTCATGTCTTGACCAGCGCGTCATATTCGTCAAACCATCTTACCCTTCCATGCTAATTTTGGTTCACGCCAAGTTCAGGGGGTGACCACGAGAGCACCCAAACATAAGTAGATAGATAGATAGATAGATAGATAGATAGATAGATAGATAGATAGATAGATAGATAGATAGATAGATAGATAGATAGATACGCTCAAAGTCGTCGAAGTTCGCTAAAAATGTTTCGCAATTAATACTTTGCCTTAGGCAGGCATGACCTCTAAGCACCAATGGCACAGTGGAGCTCGAACACAGGTCCGCTGGGTGCCAGCCCGGTATTCTACCACTGAGCTGCACCGGTGCTTGTGACTTGTCAAACCTGCCTTAGGCAGGCTTGATGTCGGGAAAGCAATCGCGTTAATACGACTTATAAAGCGTTTTACAACAGCGAATGAACAACCAGTCGTCGCACAATGCGATTAGCATAACGAGTGGGCCGTCCAATCTCCAAATCATCACAAAAGCTTCATTGTTCTTGTTCCCCTAATAACTGCGGCACATACCCATTTCAGCCATAATTCCTCATCCTCGTCAGCCACTGCATGCAAATTGGCCGAAAATTCCTTGCAAGTGTTCAGCGGATAGCACGCTTCTCAGAAGAATGACGAAAAATAGCCTAGCTAATGCCGGCCAACTACCCAAAAGTTTATTATTAATACCCTAGTGGGTACCAAGCAAATGTGCTTTCAGTAGTTACCCAATGAATGTTTTGAAAAGGCTCTGAAAGTCCACTCTCCGCTCTTCTAGCTTTCGCTGTGACTGTGCTGCACGCAGGCCTAACGGGTTTTTTTTTTTTTATCGAGCGTTCGGCACATATAACTGTGCACATGCAAAATAAACATTTTGTTGAAACTCAGCGCTACGTTTATCTACTGCGTGCCTCTATTTATCCCCGTCGGTATCTGCATTGCTGCCATTCCTTACGTATACCCACGCACTGATTTTGCGGTTGCTTAATGTGGTCAGTGAGATCCTCAAGTACTCGCAAATTATCCAAAAAGATTTGTATCCATAGGAATAGCAAATTAGATTAACTCACAAGAAAATATTCAATTCACTGTTCAGAAATGTTTACTGTTCGCACGCCCCTTGATTGACGTTCGGATAAGCTGATGAGCCATGGCGCCTCGTGCTGCCCGGCACAACACAGGTGTGCCATTGCGCCACCCCACTGCTGCTATTCACGCCAAAGCACATAATTCTAGTTAAACATTTCCCTCTGTAATGCCTCCTGTCGATTGACACAATGAAGGTATCAGGGTAACTAGACAAAATAAAAAAGCAGGAGCCCAGAGAATGCCTATGCATATTTGGCGATTTCACTGAGGACGCACGGCAGTTGCTTTCAAAGCCGGAGGTTTTTAGTCGTTGAATGTATATAGCTCAGCCTCTTCCCTGAGCGCGGCCTTTACGCAACCGTTCCTGCGGCGTCACCCTTACATACCGTCGGTGGCGTAACCGATAGACGTGAGAAAAAAATATCCAAGTTCGAATGGGATTAGAACTCGGACCATGGCCATCGAGTATTCTATAGACACTGACTGCACAGCAACGCTAGTGCTTGATCCCTCTTAAAGAGGCCCTATAGAAGCGCCATGTCGAGCAAGGAATGGCGTTGATCTATGCATGGTAGAAGAGCAAAGCAGTAGCCAGTCATCCCGCAATGCTCACTGTGCATCCAGTGTGTGGTCAGCAGTAATGCTTCATCGTCATCAGCATCTACAAAGAGCATGCAGTATCGTTTATCCGCAGAAAGACGAACAATGGTGCAGTGGTTGGTTCTCAGCGTCACAAAAATTATGATTTATGGCGGAGTCGATACATTGCGAAAAGCCAAAACTTAGTCTCGTCCCAACACGAATGATGATGATATGTGGGGTTTAACGTCCCAAAACCACCATATGATTATGAGAGACGCCGTATATAGTGGAGGGCTCCGGAAATTTCGACCACCTGGGGTTCTTTAACATGCGCCCAAATCTGAGCACACGGGCCTACAACACTTCCGCCTCCATCGAAAATGCAGCCGCCGCAGCCGGGATTCGATCCCGCGACCTGCGGGTCAGCAGCCGAGTACCTTAGCCACTAGACCACCGCGGCGGGGCCGCCCCAACACGAAGCTCCGCTCAGAATTCACATTAGGCAACATCGTAACCATCGGCGATTTTTCTTTTTTTTTCTGCACCGTAAAGGCGGAAAGAATAATTACGAAGTCCTGGCGTCCTTTATTCTTTCAACTATAGCTCGCACAGTACGAACGAAAACCGGTGATATAGCACGCAGCTAATGATTGCGCGTACACGTAAACAGCGATCAGTGGAAACGCCGGTACTGTAACCAATTGCAGCGCATTACAATAGGCTAGTTAATATAATTACACGATAAAACAGGGGGCAGACACAACAGGCAACGCGTTACGTGTTCTTCGTGTCTGGTGCCGGTTTCGCGTCATTGCAAGCAAAACCTTCGCACGACGGCTCGAACAGCGAGGATGCAGAGGCAAACGTTGAAAGAAGTGGGCGTTGTCGCGATGAATTTCGGGCGAGTGATACACCCTCGCAGCGTAGACACGGAACTAACCAATGGGAAGCAAACATGACTCGATACCGAAGTTATATATGGCTTGAGAATAGTAACATTCACTTCAGACGCGCGGCAAAGGCTGCAAGGTAAGGGTGGCGGTTTTTTTTTTTTTCATAACTTTCCTTCGAGCTATTGTGGTCAAAAAAAATTTACGGTAGTTATTTAGTTACCATTCTTTTAAACCGTGCATATGAAGTGTAGTGTTGTAGCTGATGTCGGAGCATGTGGTGCACTCGAGCGGTGTGAATCGTGGGCGCGTGTAGCATGGCGACAGTACTGAATGAAACTTGTGCGTTCGGTAGCTTGTTTTTCGTAAATCGGAGACTACTGACGCTTTTCAATTCTTATGGTGTGTGTGGTTGTTAACAGCCATTCCATTCTCTGCACCGAAACGATCAAGTAGTGATGCAGTATTGAGCTAGTACGAGCAGCAGCGGTTGGATAGCCTGCTCGGCCAGCCTTCGTATGACCACCGGTTAGGCATAAGACTGGATTCCGGAGAGCGAGATAAAAAAAAAAAGAAAAATAGATCCTTAAACGCGTCGCTCAAGCACGACTCCCCCCCACCCACTGTGTGCATTCATGTGATAAACTGTGGATTGCAGTATAGTCAGTTTCTTTACATTGTCAATAGACACGCCGCAATTTTGTGAATGCACTGCCGTTTTATACCGGCATAGGAATGACAAAACTCGTCTGATGATTGAAGCATGGTCTATCCACAACGCATGCCAACGGACTATACTAACTTTCATAAAGATTAACAGTTGTAGTTCACGTAGGCCCTCCCCTGCTGTCAGATTGATAGGTTCGTCTATGGCATGGCCATGCGCAGACAAGTTTTATAGCACTTTTTCCACCTTTGTGACGCTCTAGTCTTTAGTCGGCGGGTCTTCTTCATTCAGAGCCAGGCAATTTCAGTCTGACGAACTAACCTGCGATAGGTGATCCAGCTTTTCACCGGAAGCCGCCAGTGGCATTTTCGCGCGCTTTTAACCCGCGTAGTACGTACGCCTGGACCGTTCTCGGGGATGTGCGTATACGCATACAATGTGCTCGCCCATTGCAGATGGCGTTTCCGCTGGGCTGGCAGCTGACCACCGCGTTGATCGTTTCTGCGGTGGCAGCCTCGGCGCACGCCTCCTGGACCCGCCTACTGACGGATGTCATTCCCGGTCTGCGTACGATAGTAGCTGCACCGGAAACGACTATCAACGAAACCGGTGAGCAGAGCCAAGTGTTTGACGAGTTCCGGCAGTAAACTTAGCACTGAACGTTACCTTTCACCCTTGCACAATACGATGTTTTCTTGCACGATACGAGGCCCTAGTTTCTCCGGTGGCCTGTATTTGACTTAACCTTGTTAGAGGGACACCAAAGAGAAAAACGATTTTTCGCTTATCACAAAGTGCAGTTTCACCGTCCCCAAAACACCTCTTATCGCAGACGACCCGTGCTAAGCGAGAATAAAATGCGCGCGAAGACACCGCCTCGAGATTGCCGCACCGAACACCGTGACGTCATGAAATTTGACGCAGTCTACTCGATCCTACGTAGTTCCTAATCGGTAAAAATGGAGTAAATAATCTCTGGGTGCCATACAACCAACATGCTAAGTTTCAGAAAAATTTCATCGAGTCAATGTCATGGAAGTGCGAAAAATAGACATCGAAATACGCGCACGGAAAGTACTGCTTTCGCAAATACTAACGCCCTTTATTGGCGTTGTTGCATTGGGAAGATAACTTGGTCGCGTTATTGGACATAACCGAATATCGCTTTTCCGTTTGTGGAAGTTGTATTAAGGTGGCAGCGTTTGTCGCTTGCAATTAGCGACTCGATGTGCTCGTTCGCCTCCACTCCGGGGAGCGCATCGATGCACTCTAGTTGCATTGATGAAGCGATTCTAATTATCTGTTAAATGCACATTGCGGTCGCGTCACGTATGATCAGCATGACTATTTTAATTCGCACACATTAATCACTTAAGGTATCTCATAAATGCTACGCCGATGTTGCCTATCCCGCTGATAATTGCGATCGGGACCCATCAAAATTAGTTATCAACAGCGATTGGCTCCTTTTTGCGCCTTGCGTGAGGGAGTCAGTCGCGATCATGAAATTTGATTGGTATCACGCCCGTTCGCGAAGGAAAGTCGCTGTGTGGCACAGATAAAAGACGAACGAGATATTACTATACCATATATGCCTGAAATAAGATAGCTGCCGAGTGTGGCATGAGGACGATTTTAAAGTAGTGTATATTAACGCTAAATTGAGCAATTCTCGCCACGTTCAGAGCCATATCCTGTCGGGGAAAAGCTACGTCCACAACTTATAGACACGTTCATGCGCTTAAAGGGGTCCTGCAACACTTTTCGAGCATGTTCAGAAAGCGCTGCCAATCGGTAGTAGAGGCTCTCGACAACACGCGAGCCAAATGTTATAGCGCAGCATGCGACCTATAATTCGCAATAAATTATCAGTCGGCTAAGAATTTCTTTCTGTTCCCTCAACAAATCACGCAATATACCCGAAAATCGCGCGTAGCAAGCCAAAAATTGGCTGATTTGAACATGGCACGCTCGATCATTAGAGATCGCCGAGCGAGGCCGCTACTTGTCACGCGTGCGCACGCGATCACTGGAAAAGCCACGCATTCTCAAGGTCACGAGGCTCAAGGTCAAGTGCTTAAGGTCACGACGCGCGCGTGACGTTTTTCAGTGGCCCAGCCATCACTCCTTAGCTTCGCTTCCAGCGCTTTCGTTGTGGCGAGAAAAGAGGTTTTTCACATGCTGCAATTGCATTCTAACTCCACTCGCACTGGACAGATTCTTAAAATTTTTGCGGCGTTGAATTCGTGCGGAAATAAGCTCTTCCATTAAAGTCATTCCGTAGCTACTTGAAATAGTGCTTCAGGGCTTCTTTAAAAGTTACCATGCATACGTAGATCAATAACATCATGCACTCCACAAAAGGATCGCTCGTGCTTATGTAGCTTAATTTATGGACATCAGCTCCTCAAGAAATGCCTTGGCTTGTAGATGCTCAGAATTACAGCCAGAAAGAAACCTTTGCCATGATCTCAGACTTAAAAAAAAACACAAGACTCATTCTAAGTAGTAAGAAACACCACCCTGGTGCAGTTGAGGTCAACGGTTTCATAACCGCGGCGAATTCCGACGGGAATAGGATGTAAACGCATTAGCGAGCATCGCAGCATAACACGCTCAGTCATAAGACCCTCAACATAGCCCTTCAATACTTTAGTAAAGAAGTATGCCCTTACTAAATCTTAATGGGATCGTTTATCTGGGGCTGTAATGACTTCACAATGTCTCCAGGCACCGACGTATACCGTCCTTGTAACGTGTTGCCGCATGACAACCTGTGCATTTAATATTTGTGCGTGCTTACACTACGAAAACGGCATCATCGCAGTGCCGGTTGACTTGCACCAATATGACCAAGAGGTACAGGACCTTCTGGATTCCATTTTGGCAGCGCACAACTTGCCCAGCGACTCTGGCCAAAGACGCGGAAAGCGCAGCACATCGCTCGACGTCTCCATCAAGGACAGCCTCGGTAAGCGACATATTGCTGATCTCTACAAAGCACTGCTGCCGCCATACAGCTATAAAGGGAAGAGGGGGAGGGGGGCGTGATCATACACGCCAAATGACACGACGTCACCACGAGAAAGACGATATGTATCATCATTTGCGATAAATAACTGCCAATTGCGTGTGCAATCGTAACAAGTTTAAAAGCTGCTCTGCATAATGAATCGCAAGCTTCCGAGGGACAAAGATCGGGTAGTGCTGTCAAGTAAAAGTAATGAAAATTTCTGCAGAGGAAGCTACGGTGCTTTATGGTTGTGTTCTATCCACACCTACTTCCACAAATCTAAGAGACCACGCTTTTTTTTCGAGGAGACTGTGAGACTTAATGCCACAAACGGCACACGTCGCAAACATGGTTTGAAAGTAATTCAGACAAATAGCCGCGTATTGCTGGACCAATCGTTTATATGAAAAACAAGCATGCAAGATTAACTGCTAATCTTAGCCTCTATTCCGAAGAGCACTTCGAAGATATTTTCACAGCCGTGTTCACTCAAGAATTTTGCGAATTCTCCCATGTCCATGTGGTGGTCCCTACTGGCGTTCTGTTTAGCGTTGAAGGCAACCTCGGCAAACTTCTGGAACTTCCTAAAGTCTCCGATTTCTTGCCCGACCGCTACTTCCATGTCTTCCTGGTGCTTTAGACCTATCTTTTTCCATGTCAGGTTCTTTATGATCGACCAGGCATTCAGGCACTCCTCCGAAGAGCCTTCGTAGCAGATTATTCCGGGCTTTCCAGGGAGACAAAATCCTGTCAAGCTGCCTTCCTTTCCACATTCGAGGATGAGCTTTCGCTTGTTCTTGTTGTAAATATGGTGACTGAAAGGCCAAACAAGGGGGGGGGGGGGGGGGTCGCATGAAAGCTTAACGCACGAATATGCACACCATAAAGAAAATAGTGCTTTACAAAAGCTCACCTTACAATCCACAGTCTTGTAAACAAACGCTGGCCGTTCAGGACGGGCGCTTGGGCAACTGGCGAGGCGCAGAATCGCGGAAAGTTTTCCCTGATCCAGTCGACAGTGTCGCCCACGACTAGAGACCCAGGTGGCTGCGAGGCGAGGAACTCCTGGGCTTCCTTCATCAAGGCAGTGTGCGTGGCTCTGTCAACGCAATCAGTTCTCATCGTGATCTCCGGAGGCACCGAAGGATAGCTGTGAGGCAAATGAACGTCCAAGTCTATCGCGCCCTGGGAAGAAAATCGGGCGCTTAAAAAATCGAAACCTGTGTGAACGGCGCTATACGTACCACTTCTGTTCTAATTGTGAAGCTCAAATCCAAAGACGACGCAACTCCATCACTTTTTCCGTCCAAAAAGTCTCCGAATTCGCTGACAGCATGTGCGCCCAAGAGTTTGAATTCGTCGTTTCGAGGGTACATACTTGACAGCATTTCAATTTCGGCAAGCTGCAAGCTAAGATTTTCGACTAAGTGCTCCCGGTCCATGGATCGTTCAGTAACACTGTGTTCGATAGAAACATTCATGAAATACAGGTGATCAACGCTTGTTCAGAAATACCACATACTGTCAGCTGCGCAGCGCCATATTGTCAATGAAAACGCGTGATCTGGCCAGCTGCCGCCATCTACAGCGTTCTTGGGTAAGTACGCGTTACGGCGCTGCATTTAAAAGAATCAATGGTAGTTTTTAAAGCTGCTGCTCGGCTTACTGCATTTGTGCTTTTTCGTATCATTTGCGGAATTCCACTTACATTTGGTAGGACTTCTCAGATTTAGCGAATTGCTTTCCTACTGAGCATTGTATTTCTGACCTGACAATCAAAGGCGGCGCTCGGATTATTTGACCGGGGAAGGGAGGGAGGTGGTCATGGAGGCGAGGAACTTATCCGTTGTTTTATGACTTTGTTGCATCTTGGAGGGGGGGAAGCAACGGGACGTCAGTTCAACATTTTAGGAAAGCGCCACCTCCCTCCCCTCTTCCTTATTCCCACTCCTGGCGCCACCTCTGCTTACCCTATTTAGAGGAACGAATGTATCTTATTGTTCTGTTCCTGTGAAGAGTGGTTCAGCTTTAATCAGAGGCCTAGAAAAATCTCTCAAGGTTGGCTTACGAGTATTCATATCCCCAAAGAGAACAGCATCCTTCTCAGAGTACAAAAACTCTGCCGTGCTCTCGGATTCTTGCTGTCCGCTGTTTCTAACGCACATTCGTTTTTTTTTTTTTTTTTTTCCCTTGAATACGAACCTGATGATACTCGAATGTTCGCAGGCGTACATCGTCTTCAGCGTCTCTCTCCTTTCTCGGATCTCTGTGAGCGGCAGTTGTACGTTAGCTTCGTGCCTTACGCCGGTGAACTCTATGCTGTGTGTGTTTCTGCGGGATCAAAAGACATACGACCAAGGCTGACAGTGGGGACATTATCGGTAAGCGAACGCCTTGCTATCCCTCTTGACCCCTTAACACGCGCACGATTTTTTCCGACTTCACTGAACCATTTGTTGCAGGGAAGCAAGTGGACTCCTGTGGCTTATACGGATTGCGTTGACCCGAGAAACGTTGTGGGCTTCACCTTTAACAACAAGCTCTACATTGTAGCCGCTGACGCAGGACTTCCCAATGGAGCTGAGCTCCAGTTCTTTGACAAGGACACGAGAAAGATTTACATTGACCACACTATCAACAGCGCTTCTCCGACTTCTGTGGCATTTTGGCAAATGTTTGTACCACTGCATTTCTTACCGCATGACGTGTCTTGGGCAGCACCAGTTAAACACTGCATGTGTATTTGTGAACGCAGGAAATCAAATGGAGAGTTCAACCTCGCACTCGCAAATTCCGGAAAAGACATGTTCACTTCCATCTACAACTGGAGAGGTATTCCATGCCCCGGCATCTTTCTCCTTTCAGTCGAGATTTCCCGCCTGCTGATACGAGGGCCCTGTACTATTCGCAGTACAGAAGTTTTGACTTGGTCTAGAATTCGCGCTTATGTCACGTTCGTCTTTTCATCATCAGCTTAATCTTAGAAGAGAGAAGGGTAAAAGCTGTCTTCATTGACACCGTATTTGTTTTGGACCAACAGCAGCCAAGATGCATTCTCATGAAAGCAGTCTAGACATCTTTAATCTACACAAAAAATTGTCATTGTCTTTTCCATTGAGGCAGCGATGCAAACAGCCTATGAAAATACCTCGCTTTACTATAGTCGCCGAACAGGCATTCAAACAAGCTTGTCGCCACTTGAACTTCACTTTCACACACTTTAATGTTTCAAGCTATCCTCCGTGCAACCGCAGAACAATTCAACGCCACGTGTAAACGCAACACATTGTTTCGAATCTAAAGGTGCTTCTTGATTGTGCTTGTACTCAGTTTATAGTATAATGCGCAGAGACGTGCACAGGGTTTCCCTTCGGTGGTCGGGACTCAATGTTTTTTGCAGCACTTTTTCCCCTAATCGGTAAATGTACGAAACGCTTTGCCCCACCCTAACGAGCACGCCTATGATACTGCGGCATAATCTATGGCTACCTTTCTACCACACTATTGCCACAAATCACTTGACATACCCTGCGCGTTCTTGCAGCCACGTACTTCGACAAGTACGCCCAAGTGGAAAGCAGGGTAGTGTGCGACCTGGAGCCGTTCTCCATTCATAACCTGGACTTCCTGGCCGTGGTGAACAAGCGTTTCTCCAGAGACACCGCCAAAGTGAGCACGGTCATCTACAAGTACGACCTGTCCCGCAACGCGTGGAAGACGTTGCAGCAGATTCCCACGTACGCCGCTACGGACGCGGAGTTCTTCACGCTGGGACCAGACTCGTCGACGAAGGAATTCTTCTTGGCCATCGCTAATCAATACGAACAGCGTGAGCACACTGCACTTCCAGTTTCATTGACTTCATCATTTCTTTATGCTGTAGTTCCAGCATTGCCCTCGTCCATACATCAATTGTAGGATTAATAAACTTAGCGGCATAGGAGACGTAGAGTAGCGCAAGGAAGATCGAGATGGACGAGAATGGCACACATGGCGCCACGTGTTCTTACCCTCTCACCTTTGTATTTCTTTGTTGTAGGTATGCACGAAACTATCGCCAAATCGTCTCTTGGCTATATTACTCAACTTTCATCGGCATACAGTTTTTTATTTGTCTTTATTTATCACAATTAAATAGACTGATGTACGCCACACACATGTGAACTTAAAATGATTATTTAAACAGCACCCGTCCTGTTAAGTCCTTTTGTCCACATCCACACACCTTCCACCTCCCAATAGAAGTTCATTAGTACTACCAGTGATGCACCTTCATAACAGCGTTCCGTCATCCTTCTAAAAAGTCACAGCTAGTCACGTAAAAAATTTACGCATGTCTTTCTACGCCACTCGCGTACAGGATTTGTCCTGAAAGTGTACAGAATTTTCTCCTGCCATATCTTGGCAAACCAGGGGCATGTTCCTCTGCTGGTTGGCTACCAGAGCGTCAGCAGTCTCCAAGGCAGTCGAAACGTTCACATGTGAAGCAGCGGTGGCAGACGATTTTTTTTTTTTTTTGCAGATGACGACCACCGCAACTATGCAGTCAACTCGGTCGTGTACAAGTACGTGGACGGGAAGTTCGTTCCGTTCCAGTGCCTGCACACCACGGGTGCTACCAAGATCGCGGCGTACGAAGGCGCCGGCGGCGAATTCCTACTGGCCGTGGGCAGCCTGTACGAGCCGGTGCATCTTTATCAGTACAATGGCTGGCACTTCGTCCTCGCGGAGGTTCAATACACCCAGTCCACGATGGGACCCGGCGTGCACGACTTGACCTTCCACCTCCTACAGCCATCACGGGACCTGCTTCTGGGTGCGATTCTCGCTCTCGTTTCTTCGTCTGCCCGCTGTTCAGGCACGTCGCGTTGTCCAGTGCTGCTTCTCGTACGCATGCCGTACATGCACAACATTAAGTTGCTATCCGCGCAAACAAGATTGACTCGCAACTTTCATTCTTAGCCTCGTCTAAGAGTCTTCGAGATGCTAGCAGTCACACTCTGTGACGAGCATACCAATAGCGTACATTTTTCACTGTTTCGTGTGCGTTTCATTGAGCAAAGTAGGCATTCGAGAGGAAGTCGTACTTCACAATGTTTCACGCTTGCTTTATTTCTTCGTAGTGAAATAGTTGCGCCATGCTCGGATCGGCTGAATTCTAATGTCGGCAAAGATTATGTAACATGCATCAGTGTCGGAGGCAGTGGATCATTCCCGCATAGGAACCAATCTTTCTTCCCACGCAGTCCCAGACTGCGTGGGAAGAATGCGTGAGAACTTCTCCATACTCTGCGACAAATTATCTTGACATTGGAGTGAAGGCAACAAGGGGGCACTTTCTCACATTCGTGCTCGTAGTGCAGCAACTCTCGGCCGATTTTGGATTGGTCCACCCGCTTCATTAGCTGGTTTAGATAATTACATTTACGAAAATGGGAATGGAAAACATTTACATGTTTCGCTGTGCATTTTAGCACCACATTACGTTCATATCTTTCTTGGAGATCTAAGCTGCGCGTTTGCGGTCGCACACCGACCCACTACGACATGTTTCCTTTAGAAAACGAGCGTGCTGAAAAGGTGACGCTAGATCAGACGAGGCATTCTAACGTGGTTAACAATGACTGCATTTAACCTACGACATCTAGCAACTATTTGTCTGAAAATAAATAAAGCATAATTTCAGCATTGCAAAATGAGCAATTTATCGCCGTAAAGAAACGTTGTTGCCGAGTATAGCTACTGTGCCTCAAGTTTCCTCTCCTATTCTCCAAGATAGGCCGTAAGTTGTCAAGACATGTGCCAACAGCATATGCATCGGCAGCGTTTCTAATAAACACTAGCTCGCCCCCCCCCCCCCCCCCCCCTCACCAATGCAACATGGATTTGCACCCCGAAAGCAAAAATCGTGCCGTTGCTCATACCGCCACATTTCATTTCGTCTACTGCAGTCATTTCCTTAATCATACTGAAGGGCGTGCGTATACGAGTATGCAGGAATTCTATGAATGACATTAAACGATTTGGAGCGACCCACTTCTATTGCACATCAGTTTTCGTTTATAGTCCCAGCAAGCACTTCAACATTCCTACACTAATATGGCTGTCTGTGTGAATTCGTCACGTAGCTAAAACATTCTTTTTTTCCCCTCGTCCTAGCTGTATCTAACCCTTCGACCGAAGGTCCAGGCGCGTACAAGGTGGACTTCTATCACGACAACCAGATCCAACGTTGGTACGACGACAGCCTGCGCTGGTGTCACGAGTCCTCGCGGTTGGCCACCGAAGAGTCTGCTCAAAGGCTCGTTTCTCAATTGGACCAAGTGTACTACGTAGACAAGCACGAGACCATACGCATTCCGGGCGAAGTAGTATTTCAGGACCTCCACGTCCAGGAGGCCATTCGAGCTCAGCAGGCAAGTCTTGCATCGTAATTATGTGTGCAGTTATGTCGAAAAAAAAAATGCAAGCATTCCAAACTGCTGGGTGCGTAAGCGCGTTCAGTTTTGGCTCTAGCCTCCAGCTCTCGGTATGAGATGCACACGGTGGCTGGAAAAAAATAATTAAGGGTTATGGTGGAGCTACAACACGCGAGAAACACTCGCATAAAGTCTGGTGTTTGTTATGATTGTCCTTATGTGTTGACTCTAATACTATGCTCTAATTCTGTGATTCAGGTTACCTAAACATCGTCGAAAATTCTCTTAGGTTTAAAAGTTCTTCCCTGTCAATATTTCACTTCTATCGTGAACCTATCGCAATTTTAAAGGTTCGCTTGGTACCATACGAGTAGTCATCATTCACTTTCTTTTTTCAGCTGTCCAAAGGTGTTGTTAGTTCTGTTTAATTTATTCGCAAGTCTTATTTTTTGTTTTCAGTTTGAAGAGCTTGCGTCCGGAGAGAGTTACAGCATGAAGGATCTGGAAGAGCTTGAAAAGCTTCAAACGGAACTGAACACAATGAAGGACAACCTACGAGGCATGCTGACTGAGCTCAACGACGCTTTGAAGCTCACGGGAGACCAAGTCCTTATTGGTATGCTGATTGATCAGATTTCAATTTTCCTTTTTTTTGTACTTGCGATCGCTGTACTGAATCGATTGCGTTAAGTGTGTGCGTGTTAATCTCATTCAATTCGGTGACGATTACACCCAGGCAGAGTGTACTTAGAAGACGCTTTCACTTGCCCCGCTGCGGTGGTCTAGTGGCTAAGGTACTCGGCTGCTGACCCGCAGGTCGCGGGTTCAAATACCGGCTGCGGCGGCTGCGTTTCCTATGGATGCGGAAATGTCGTAGGCCCGTGTGCTCAGATTTGGGTGCACTTTAAAGAACCCCAGGTGGTCAAAATTTCCGGAGCCCTCCACTACGGCGCCTCTCATAATCATATGGTGGTTTTGGGACGTTAAACCCCACAAATCAATCAAAACGCTTTCACTTCGAGAAGCTGCTTCCTCAACTTCGAAACGTACAAACGCAAGCGAAAGGTTGCAATAAGCAGGCACCCTTTCAACCCACAAGGTGACCTATTTATTGAATGTGGCCAATTACCTTTTCTTAAAAGTAGTTTGTCTACTTAACCTCCCCACCTTTCTGATATTCTCTCTAGCTTTTAATATGTATCGCTTTCCATTCTTTTTTTTTTCAATTTTTCCTTCTTTAATGACTTATTCAGACCTTTACAAAGCACACATTTTAAAGATAAATTACTTTTAACAAACTGCTGTCACGTAGGGCTCAAAATAAGATATCATATATTCGCTTACGCATTTGGGTTTGACATGTCTTCACATTTTGCAGCACAGTTACGCGCGCAAATTCGATGTTGGTACCTTTGAGAACTCCATGCACCCTTTCTATTCTCCTTACCGCCGCCTTGCTCGTAACTTCAAGGCCCCTCTACTTATGCTGCAAGCCCTCTATGCTGTGCAGCAAGCTTTGGTCTCGTTCAGACGCGTTCAGTTACTACGAAGTTACTCCTGTATGATGAAAAAAGAAATCGTTTGCGTGGCCAACTTGTTTCATCTGTGTAAACTGTTCCTCGGTCTTACACAGGCGACTACCACTTTAATGACATCGCCCTGGACTGTCCGACGCAAGGCTGCAAACTTGGCCAACTCGAAGCCCTTTACGTGAACAAGGAGGACGTCTCCAACCTTCCCAGCCGCCTGTTCTTCACCAATGCGCCTCAATTCCCCAATGCTGCCATGTCGTTCGAGAGCCTTAGTGTTCAGAATTTGCAGGTGGACGGGATGGTCAATGGACTCAATGTCTCCACTTTCGTCACCGTCTCTGGGAATCATGTTCTCAGTGGCAACATCCGCTTTTCAAGGCCCATCCATGCTCTCAGCGACGTCGTCACCAACAGCCTCAGTGGAGTCTTCTTCTCGCCTCACCATCTCCTGCTCACAGAAGGCGACCAAGTTCAGAGTGCGGAACTTACGATGACAGATGCCACGGCTGATGTCTTGCACGTAAGCTTACCTCCAATAATTCAGCATCAGTGTAATTACTACAGGTTTTATCACTTAGAAATAAAAAAACAATAACTTTTGCCGAGCAATGGCCTGTGGTATCGAGACTACTGGGCAACACGTTAACACTTCCAGAAAGCATATTTAATATAAATAAGAGACGACTTAATTTGGCAGTAATTTTTTTGAAATGCCGCAGGCTGAGATGATATAGATGTGTCAAAAGCATAATTAACAAACCATTCGTTCTCAATACTCCACGTAATTCACTACAAATGTCCAGTCAAGCATCGCCTCTCTGCTCCGCCGCAGTGGTATAGTGGCTAAGGTACTCGGTTGCTGACCCGCAGATCGCGGGAACTAATGCCAGCTGCAGAGGCTGCATTTTCGATGGAGGTGGAAATGTTGTAGGCCCGTGTGCCCAGCTTCAGGGGCACGTTAAAAAACCCCAGGTGGTCGTAATTTCCAGAGCCCTCCACTACGGTGCCTCTCATAATCATATGACGGTTTGGGGACGTTAAACCCCACATATCGATTAATCACCACCTCTCTTGCACTTTCGACTTGTTCTCAATTATTCGATATCAGCGGCGGTGGTCGCATATCTATTGAGACGAAACGCTAGACGCCCGTGTGTACTTACTTAAATGCACGTTAAAATAACCGCAGGTCGGAATTCACGGAGCCGTCCATTATAGCACGCCTCATAACTGCATGGTTCTGGCAAGTGCAATCCCAGAGACTATCGTCAACAGACGGCCAGCCCTTTGACCCTCTGAAACTCTCGCATAAAAAAATCTAACGTTACGCTTGACATTACCTCATTATGCGAATTTTTTATCTATTGCAAAACTCGCCGAGGCCTTCGCTTTGCATGCACCCCCCCCCCCCCTTTTTTTTATTTGTGTGGTCTCTTTCGAGCGACAAATGAGACATAATTTCCTGTCCCTAGGTTGCCGCATCTTGCAATGGAATCAGCCTGGACAAATTCTATCGGAATGCATTGACTCTTGATGGTAATCACGTCATCACTGGTCGCAAGATTGTGCGGGACCTGGCTGTGGAGGGTTTACTGCAGATAAGCGACTCGAGACTCTTCAACAACGTTAATTTACGTGATCTGTGGCGTTCAGTCATGTGGATTCACGGTCATCAAGCAGTCGCAGGTAAGTTTCAGTTTGGGGGAGAGAGAGGAGCGTTGTTTTCATATTATTGCAAATCAAGGATACCTTTAGAGGGGAACTACCAAGTAAATATTGTGAATTCAAAACATTTCCATTCGACTCCTTGTGCATCCATGGCACAACGCCCGTTGGTCTTGATCTTGTTATAAACATAACTGGCTCGCGCACTGAAGGGCATTCGCCGGGAGTCGAGCGGATTCATAAATTCAGTTACCTTATCACGCGTTTTTCATAAGTACACTGTTCATTTTCCGATAGACCTATACAATAGGAATTTAAGTTCGTCGCTTTCGTGCATCCAATAGTTCCCTTTCGTCAAAGTTATGCGTAAGCTGCATAGACCATAAAGGTTAGCGTGAGTATGCAAATAAACAACGTACGGACTGTGTTAAGCTGTTGCCCTTTTGACCGTACCTCTCCAATAACGTCTTGCCTCCTTAGCAGAGATGAGAACGAATATATAGCATGGATTCATTCCCCCCCCTACAGCTACCCACGAATACACAAACGTTCAGTTCAGCGACATCAGCGTTCGCGGTGCTGTCAATGGTCTCCAGATACCAGGACCTGACGTTGTGTTGGTCAACCAGAACGTTACAATTACGGCGGAAAAAGTGTTCCTTGCCGACTGCTTAGCACGGGAGCTCCACGTGAACATCGCACTCAACGGAATTCGCCACATTCCGGATCCGTCTTCTGGTGTGTATCAAAAGATAGCTGCAAGTATAGCTTATTTTGACCTTGTTGTTTATTCTTCGCAGACTGGAAGGGTCAACTTGACATGCTGGTGAAAACGCCAACACAGCGCGTTACAGGTAAATGAAAAGCGATATTTCAGTTCTACCACTGCAAAGCTCGCGCATACTTACAGGGCGAAAGACTTTCACCACATTGCACCTTGACGGACACAGCACCGTTGGACGATTTGTCGATGGTGTGGACTTGTCGCAGTTAGCGGAATTTTTGCGTAGGAGACGCACCACCGTGATGAATGGTAAAGTACGCAGTCGGTAAGCTTCTATGCGCTGCTCACTTCTGCTTGCAACTCCCTCCTAGGGACGTGGACGTTCAAGGGCAAAGTTGTCTTCGAAGATAAAGTAACTGTTACCGGATTGATCAACGATCGGAAGTTGGATGACTTGTATCGCTACGCCCTCCGCCTAGACACGCCGGTATTTCCGAACTTCAAGAAAGTGCTCTTTACAAACAACGTGCAGGTACGTCACCAACAGCTTATATGGGGAACTCGTTCAGCAATTTTTCTCTATTGCATACCGTGCAGGTACGGAATCTCTCTAGCCCCGACATCAATGGACTCCACATGCCATCGTCGTTTATTCTGCTACGCGGACCAAAAGTAATGCACGGCGAAAAAGTGTTTGCAAAACTGAGGCTCGCCGGAGAAGTGTTGGTTAAAGGACTCCTCAACGGTGTCAACCTCGGTGTCTGGAAAGATTCGCTTCTGACCCGTGGCAACCAGGTATGCTCATTCAAACTACCTTAAGGCTGTTCTACTCCATCAATGTGGATCTGTCTTGGTGCACGACGTGCTCGTTGTGGGTAGAACGTACTGTTTGTATGCGTGGGGTTCTCAATTACAGCCAAGTCTCCCGGCAGCCCCTCCCCCCTTTTGGTCACGTCTTAAGCTCCGCAGTGGATACAAATGCCATTGGTCCCTGGGTTTCCGGGGGGGGGGGGGAATGAGCAGGAATCAACGGTTAAAACCAGCACTTTAGTTGGCTGGGTCTAGGCCTGCCACGTGGGGATGTCAAGATCTTGCCGCCTCGTGGGCGTGCTGGCGTGTCAAAGCTGGTCTAGAGGGCCTTTGTATCAAAAGAGGGGTACTTGGGTTCACATTTCCACAAAATACGCTGGGAGGGCTTCTACCTGGGACTTGCAGATCTTACAAGTGAGACTAAAATCAATTTCCGGCTATATTTTGTGGTATCAATATAGGTCAGTGTTCATATGTAACATGCGTAAGGTAGTTGCCTTTCTCTGTTTTGTGTTTAATGCAACCTCAGGGTTACTTGGCCATCATTCTCGTAAGAGGGGATGTGGGTGTTGACCGCTTGGCCCCACAAGCGTACGTACGCTTACGACTGAACGAAACTTAAACTAAGATGTTCGCACAAACAAGAATAGCGTATGATTATTTTTCTTTTAGAATAGAGTAGTGAAAAACAGGCTAGCTATCAGAGTGGAGTTTGAAATTACCTCCGTCGACTGAGCCATCGACAAACTCAAGGTCAGTTGCGTTTTATTCTGTTTTCGTCATTGTAGGTTGTTCGTGCTCCTAAAGTCTTCATGAGAAACTTGCACGTGAAAAATCTTGTCGTCGAAGAATCCATAAATGGGGCAGCCATTTCGGACCTCTGCCACCTCAATGAAAACTGCTTAATCACTGCTCCAAAGGACTTCGAAACATTAACCATCGACGGTGGCTTGACAGTCAACGATTTCATCGTAAGAAACAGAATCAACGGGATCCGTGCAGCGGAGCTTCTTCAGGACTCCATGCTCTACACTGGTTAGTAATCTGAACATATGCACAAGAGTGTTGCCTGTTTTTACTGTTTCAGTCATTCTGTCACCACTGTTTACCTCCATTATTCTCGCAGCACACCAAGTTGTTTCCGGACGCAAGATTTTCACAAACAACTTAACGGTTCCGCGGCACGCCAACGTGCGAACGAGCAATTTCTCTGGAGTCTCTCTCGGTGAACTTTACCTGGACGCTGTTACGCTGAAGGGGAATCAAGTTATCGCAGGCGAGAAAGTGTTCACCACCACAGTAACTGCCCCACGGTTTGAATTCGAGTCCCTCCTGGATGGTGTCACGCAAGAAGACATCAATAACTGGATGCTTCAAGGAGTAGATCAAGTGATCGGTGGTGACATGGTGTTCGAAAACAGCCTGGAAACTCTTGCACCACTCACTATCCGCGGTGCCATAAACGAAGTTAATATACAAGATCTTTTTAGCAAAATCGCTTTCAAGAATGAGTCTACGACGTTTTCTGGTCCTGTAAGGTTCGAGTTTCTCGGTTCTATGGCTGATGTACACGTGACTGGCACTGTCCAGGGCATCGATGTATCTGAAGAAGTTGTCGACGCCTCGAAGAACGTGACGGTATCTGGAAGAAAGTTCATGAAGAAGGGATTCAACGTCGATGGAAACATGTGGGTCAGCGGACTCGTGGATTCGGTGAAGGTCGAAGAGCTGTGCAAAAAAGCGCTAACTACATTCGGCAACCAATTTGTTGCTCCGACGACAGTGTTGGGCGACGTTACTTTCCACAGGGGAGTGAAGGTTGACGGGCTCATCGATGGAGTGGATCTGCGAGAGCTGCATTCATCTTGCGCGAAGACCAATGTACCCTCGACGCTGCGAGGAAGCAAAAGGTTCAGGACCGTCGTGATCGAAGGGGTGAGTACATCATTTTTTTTTTAATTTCCGTACACACGCCACTCGTACAGCCACAATATAACTTCTAATGTCTCGCGCCTTAAGTGCTGCGGACGCCATTGCTAATTGATTTATGCACCCATAATACACTCCTTTGCTTCACTTATTCCAGTTTAAAAACTTCTACTTTTCCACTGTCTTTTCAGCCTCTGACACTGAGGGGTACGCTAAATGGCTTCAACTTCGATTATCTGAAAGACCATTACATGAGTGTTTCCAGAGACCAGATCGTCGAAACCAAGCTGAAAATGCCCACTGCTCATATCCACGGTATGTCGGTACACACACAGTAGCGTTAGTGTACGATTCCCCTCGGAATTATTCACTTCACTATAACATTTCAGGTTCTCTGCATTGTGCCAGCGTCGATGCCTCTCTGGTAAACGGCTTCAACTTGCCTTTGTTCGTGAGCTCCGCGTTGCGCACACATGGTGAACAGACCATTACAGTGCCTTGCAAGTTCCACAACGCCACTGTAAATGGTAAGATGACTCTAGATCCTATAGAGCGATTTTTGCTGTGCAAGTGCCTTGCACGTACCTCTTATTTGGCTTTGTACCTCAATTACAAGACGCCGCTAGAGGACGCATAGAATAGGAAGGGGGGGGGGGGTGTAAGTTTGTCTCAAAGATAGATTTGATAAGTGGGTAGCCCTGCTACGACTCTTCACCCCTCTCCCGTCCCCTGAAGGGGACCCTGTGCACGCTTATGCCACATAGGCATTTGGACGAATGTGTCCAGGCGCAGTTTGGTGAAATCGTTTCATTCCTTCAAGTCGTCGCCCCGATGTCATATCTACTTCTGTCTTGTTAGCAAGTGTCAGTGTATACGCTCATCACCACTTATTCGACAGGGGACCTGCATATTAATGGCAAAGTCAATGGTGTCCAACTTCCGCAAGAAGTGTTCACTAAAGTCCGCACCAACGTGGTTTCCGGAACACTGGCTGTGACTGGAAACGCTACCATTGCTGGAGCCCTGACCATGCCGGAGTCCGCGCGCTTGCAAGGGGTGGACGTTTCTGCTTGGGCGAGGATCGCCGTTTTCAACGATGGCCGCGAATATAAAATTACCGGAGTCAAGGCGCTGCGAAATGTCCACACCGGCAACGCTAAGTACAGTCCCTTGGTTTTTATTGTTCTAACCTTGTATTCTAACTGCTCCAATTGGGATTCCAGTGTCCAGGGCACCGTGGACGGAATTAACGTATCGTCCAGTGAACTGCTGATAACGTCAACGGAACAAGTTGTAACCGGAAGAAAGACTGTTCTGGGCAATGCAGCCATACATGACCTCCGTGTCACTGGGTACCTTAACGGTGTCAACATTCACGAATTTGTTCACCAGGCCGTACGTATTCTTCTTAAGCCGCTCGTACAGAGCGCTAAACTTTCGGACCTTTATTTGTGCAGATGCTCAAGAGCAGGAACAACACCGTCACCGCCCCTAAACGCTTTGTGAGTGGATTAAGCATCGCCACGCTCCACACGACAGGCCACATTGGAAACGTCAGCTTGCGGGATCTCAAGCAGAGCATCAGATCCGTCGGTGAAGTGGAGGCACTCGCCCAACGACTCGGACTGCAGAAGAACCAAATCGATAAACTAAATGTCGCTTTTCAAGGTGCGTTTTTTTCAGTTGTGGAACTAGTTTGCGAAGCTTGCTTGCCTAAAATATTCTAGCGCTGCATGTGACGAGAGAAAATGACACCACGGGCGCAGACTCCGAATAGATTAATTGAAGTCTCACACATTGCGTTTTATAGCAATAAAATGCAACTAGCGGTTGCGCGATCATAAGAGAACAGTATAAAGGAAGGTATTTGTGCAAAATATCCCCCTTGTGTTTGGCGAGACCGGGCGCTGCATGAGCCAACGCGCCAAGGAACAGGAACGATCGTAAGGCGATGAGGCGTCGTCCCAGGATCTACGCGCCCATTGCGGTTCTTGCAGAAATTATTAACCGCTGCTTGGAAAAAAAGCTAAGCAGAAGGAATGACTGGTTAGCTCGCGAGCTATCGGACGCATTTTTTTTTACTACACAGAAAGATAAGACGTGAGAGGAAGAGATAGAACTCATTAAAAAAAAGCAGAGAACTTTGCTGACGTATGCAAATCCTGGACTTGGTACTCCTCATCAGGGAGGGGACTGGGGACAGAAAGTGGACAGGGTGTAGAAAGACATAAGGTGATAACACATCGTAAAAAAAGAAAAAAAAACGGAATGTCTTTTTATCTCTAGGACGGGGACTTGCGTTGAGTCTTCCGATTGTGCGGTTTCATGGTGCAGCTTAAGTTCATCGCGCTAACCTATACTGTCCAAATGGTTTAATCGCTCGCCACCGTAGCATGAGCCAGGATAGATGGCTCAATACAGTGAATTGAAAAAGTTCTTTAAGTTATCGAAAGCATGCAATGTTTATAGAGCACGCGCACATCAGCATACGCTCGACACTCATGTTCCACAGCTACGATGGAGCCACGGCTGTTGCAGTACGGACTTGCTGCTTGACCGAAGTGGTACCGCAAACTGTTCCCATAAACAGTGTTCAGACGAAGATTAATTGTACAGTGTTTTCAGATGTCTAGGCATTCTAGACGGAAGTCTTGTTCAGAGATACGGATCGATTGAGTGGATGAAAGCATGTGTCGGAAGGTTCCAGAGCCTGGCTTCTTCAAAAGCAAGTCTTTTTAACCAGCTGAGAAGAATCAAATTTAGTGGCATAATTTCACCTATAATTGGTGTTGAAGACCTTTGCGTGCTACGTAATCCAATTTCTCATTGGCCAGAGAGAGAAGACGGGGAGGTTAACCAAGCTTGGCCAGATTACCACAATAAGGCGGCACCTATACTCAAGTGCGATAATACGATCTGTGGTAATATTGAAGTGATGAAAGTGCGCTAGGTCGAATGAAACTGAATGAGAATTCTTCTTTATGAGGTTGAGCAATATCTGTAGTGCTCCTTTGGAGTACATGAAAGTTACCCATTGGTCCGGCGTATGGCGCAAGGTATTAAGGACAGCTTCTTCGAAACCATGCTGCCGTGTAGGATGTCATCCGATGTAGCCTACAAAATGGCGTTTGTCTTCTAGAGGACACATAAAGGCCACATTAGGAAGTCTCTCGAGTGGTTGAAGCGTCAGTGTAAACACGAGTGCTAAGCATGGTGATATGCTATGTACAGGAGAGAGCAGTGCATTCTGTGACACGTTCCCTCCATTGCTGCCACGTACAAAATTGTTTTATAGTTACTGGAAGCGGTGTTCAGGAAGCCAATATTGGAGGCATTCATATCTGTGGCTGACTAATAGGAACAAGTTACAGCATTTTCGCACATGCGTAAGCCCCACATCTGTATCCTTCAGTACCAGTGAACAAGATGTTCGACAAACGGTGTTAGTTTGCACAAATTCTACTGTTCCCTTAGGATTGCGCGCGCACTCGTTGCTTCCTATTGCTATAAGATGGTTCGAGTCCGCGCCTGTACTGTCATAATCTTCTCTTTGTCATCGTCAAACGTAGCGCTACAATATTTCGAGCTAGAAAGTTAGTTGTTTTTGTGGCGCATGAATACATTAACTGAACCTGCTTTCTTTATTCGCAGAACAAGCTGTTCTTCTCGCCTACTACGAGCAGATATTCGCCTTCACCGTGGGTCCATCCTACTCTGCTCTTTATGCGCCGTTGCGAGACTATTCAGACATATTCCTCATCAGTTCACCAGCTTTCCGTAATCGACCTTGCGGCATTCTGAAAACATTCAAACTCCAGGCACCCTACACGAAAGCATTCCCTATGCAACAGGCGAGTGTTTAGCCACGATTTCTTTAACTAACCATTGTCTGCTTTATCCCTGTTGGAGTTCCTTTAAATTATACTTGCTTTTAAACGTTGTGATAAAGCCAGGCGTTCTCCAAAGCTTCTGCTGCAAGATCTTGGCCTTCTCGCTGCTCGCAAAGCTAATTTTAGGAACCACTTACTTTGAAACATTGCACGAATCTTCTGTTCCAAACGTTAATGAATATTCAGCCTACAAGCATATCGTATAATCTTACTGCGGGAGCAGCCTTCGAGATGACCTCATCATATAGTCTTGACATTTATCTGAAATAGACTGAAGGCCTTCATACCAGTGAGTCTGCCTTGATCGCATTAGCTTTTGAACACGTAATTTCATCACGAGTTCTTCAAGCACCAACCTTCCACGGCGACGTCTGCCCCGTCATAATTTAGTAGCTGCAGGCTCCAGTGTTTAGCAGTCATTAGCTGATGTGATGGGCAAGGGTGAAATTCGCTTCGATAAAGGTATGCGTAGGTTGCTGCTACTTGAGGGGGTATAGTAAGGCATGTGGTATGTCAGTTTTAATGTAACATTTTAAGACTAGCAGCAAGTATTCGCATAAAATTTCACATGCTCACTAAGAATGCCACTTGGTATCACTTGATGCCCCCTCCCCCCCCCCCTTTTTTTTTACGTCAACGTTGCCTGTCCTTCCTATGAACCACTCCCAAATTTTAATTTGGGTTCACTTATTCAATGTACCTTTTTCTCGGCAATCACCGAAAGGAATGAAATGATATTCAGCCGTGTCATTATAGATATACGTAGGTTATATCTGAAGTAAAAAGAAATATGGCTCCTTCAGAGAATTGCTGTAAAATAACTGCATTCGCAATCCAGAGGGTGCGTTATACCCTATTATACTTTTTTAAAGCATTAGGGTCTCCTTTTTGAGATCATTAGTGCAAATGATACGGCATTACTCTAGAGCGCTACTGTTCTGTTGGCGTATACCATGACCCGAAAACTCTTCAGCTGCTTGACTTCCTCGATGCTAATGCAGGTAATGGAGACTAAAATAGCCAAGGGCCGACCACCACGATATGGCATTGCCATATACTTACCGTAAAGCAAGTTAGCACTGCATAAGTCGCATATGCGTGCGATGGTTCTCCACAGGAGGAAAGGGGGCATGAAAATCTGACTGCGCTCCCCTATTGTTGGTCACGTCCGAAAGGAAGAAGCTCCTCAATGGATGCAAATGTCAAAGTGAAGCAATGACTCCTTTCTCACAAAGGCCGGCCATTGGCTCCCGGCTTACCACGGGTAAAAGTGTGAAATAAACACTTCTTTGAATGAAACACCAGATCCATGTGTAGACATAACTCTGAACATTAGACAGTGGCCAGAAAGGTCACACTAAGTGGAGGTAGTGGCAAGAATCCCCCCCCCCCCCATTCACACACGCTTTGTGCGCTTCTATGCAGCCTTTTAGCTGCAGTACTGACGTGTCCGTCTATAGTCTCTTGTGGGTTTGTTTTCACTCTGTCAGTTACTCGCACTGCAATGAACAAACTGCGCCGGAAATTTTTCATGGCAACCCTATTGACTCTAAATGTGCACAGAATGTGTACTTTCTATACAACCTCAGTGTAGCAGTTCGCTTCAGCTTACCAGGGAAAAAAAATCGTTAAAGGCCGTATGTGGTGGAGTTGCCTCACTTGCGTGACAGAATGTTTAAGATCAACCACCATTGTCCACGTATTTTTTGCGTATTGCGGCTATTAAAGATCACCCGTCTTGGCTGAATTCACCATTAACAAAGAAATGCTTAAGCGGTCATACTAGTTGCAACCTATAAAGCAACGTATACTTAATTCCCTGCATCATATAGTACATGTATCTCTGATAAGGACTCAATGATTTTTTTTGTGTGTGTGTGAACGTGCAGGATACCCCAGTTGCCCAGGGTGCTTCACTTCACTTCATATCCACTCAAGCAGCAGATTACATCGTTGTCGTCAATGAAAACGCTGCCGCTGCGTGTTCGAAGCAAGTGCCTATTCAAGGTGTTCAAGGTAAGACATGCTCACTTATTCCAGAACGCCCCTTAACTCAACGCTCCACCTTCACTTGAGAAAGCCACTAAAAGCGCTATCTCTAGGCATAAAAATGTACTGCATATCAGTATAATTTGCTGCTATTCTTAGTAGCGCAGCCTCATTTTTACCCGAGCAGCGGTGCAGTGCGCAGCTATGTCAAGCGAAGGGTGAAAGTCGAGTCGAGGAGCGTTTCTGAATACGGGGGTTAGTCTATTGTGCAGCGTTTATTTTAAATGGTCCTTGGGACGTTTGGATTGTATGCCCAAACAAATCGGCGCAAAAAAGCTAACACGAAAAGAGAATAAACTTAGTCTAGTTTTTATTTTCTTTCTCGCACCGAATTATTTAATGAATTACTATTTCTGCCAAGTATACTCTTGAAGCCTTTAAACGAAATAGTTTTTAGCGCACGGTAATGTTCAAAAAGGCAGCAGGCGGGGCGATACTGGCAAGTGGTTAACAATTACAAACCAACAAGCGAGTTGTACACGTGTAACAAGTGGCCAGGTTAGGGTACGAGCTGAACTAGTTTATGCGCATTCACGTAACGACAGGGCGTGTAAGCCCCCACATGAGAGATGCCGCAAACGCATGGGATAATGTTGTAATCTTGTGTCCGTCTTTGCACGCGTAGTTAACATGAAGTGACCAGGGTTCAGAACATTGTCCTGTCCCATATCCGTAACTTACTCTACTCCGATATTTGCCTAAAATCCACGGGAGGGGACTCCAATGCGCCCCGCTGCTGACGCTCACACTAAAATTTTGGGTTTTAACTCAACAGGCAAACGTGCTGCAACAGCTATGAAATAGTAACCATATGGTACAGACCACACCTTAGTGTATTGCATCAATGGTTGCTTAACAGCTGCTGTTCGCATTATAAGCGGATTACAAACACAAAGAACATTACATATGCACTTATATGACAAGGCAACCTATGCGCACATGTCAATGGACGATGCACATCTCCTCACCATGCAGTCTACAGAACACTTCTGATCTCTAATTGGAGTGCCAACGGTACGTTGGGCCACAGACTGCGCTTAATACAGTCGACGCTCCTGGTAAGCACACGATATGCGCACAGCTACTAAATTTACGCAAAGATGGCAGTCTACCTCTTGTAACGCTTAGGTTAAACCTAGAAAATGCGACTAGGGATCGAATCTATTCCCACAATGCGTTGGATCTACCGGAATATTACCTGGCCGTAGAGCTCCAGATATAGGATCAAGCAAGGCTAGCCAAAGGGCCTCTACTGCCTCTACATGGAACATATTCTGCACAATAACAATACTTTTGTGCTTACCACATCGCCCATGAACTATGAACTTCACATGGCATCGCAAACTGTCGTAATTTGCACGATGCTTCGATTGTAACCTCTACTTTCGATTAAGGAACTTCACTTTGTCGTATGTGGTTGGGTACCCTTCCTATGAAGACCGCAATATGACGAGTTTGTCAGAATGAACATCACGAACATCGAGAACTTGCGGCTTGCACCCGCAAAAGGTGGATTGCAAAGTGCCACTTTTCCAGCATACCATACCCGTTTCGTGTTCTCATACGACGAGTATAGCACTTACGTATCGCTAGTAACATTTGCCAGTGCTTTCTGGCTACAAGTGAGCCCGTTATTCGCGTTCTGCATTGAAATCTTCCTTTTCAGGTGCCGGCTACAGCTCTGTGGAAATCTTCAGGTGGGATCCAGCGACGAAATCTCTCAGCCTGTACCAAGTCATCAGAATGAACGCCCTGAAGAGTGTGTCTCCTTTCAACTACGAAGCACTAGGGTGTCTAGCAGTATCCGCTGATGGTCACTTGAAGATATTCTGTGTGCATGACGCCTCGAAGGGATTCCTCATGCACCAGAACTTGCCGATGCACTATAGCCACGAGGCAAGTCCACAACACTATTCAGTCTGCAATTACAATTCTATAGTTGCATTAAAATACTGGCATAAGTGTGCTATCTGAAAAAAAAGAACGTTGGCGATCAAATAAATGCGCAAGCGTTCTTTAGTGCTACATTCTCTAGATTATCACACAATAGTGTAAGCTGCAAAAATTCCATTCGGTAAACTTCTGTGCAGTTCATGATATTAAAGCTGGCAGGCGTCTAGTTTTTCCGCATGTTTCATTGCTCTTGTGAACATTCATCCTGGACTTGCACCATAAGCTGTAGATATCTCTGGCGAAATATTTGGGATCCAACTACAACATTCCCTTCATGGCTTCTAGTTTATCCTCGATTATCTTGTGACTCGCGTTCCGTATCCGAGTGTGATGTTGGTTTTTGAATACGCATATGAAATAAAAATTCAAGTGAAAATGGAGCACCCGATGAAAATTTATTGCACCACCGTGTACTATTCTGTTTAGTAACCCATCAATATAGCCATGCAAGCCGATCGCGATTGTCATTCGGTCGTTCTACTAATAGAATTTTGCCGACTTTCATTAACAGTGTTCTCGTATCTTGAGAAATCAGTGTCGTAACTTACTCGGTTACAGAAGGTCTATATGCAGACTCCGAGCCTCTGGATTTGTACCACATATACAACTTCTGTGGCATGTATGCACGTGCGCATACATGATTGCACAAAAAAAAATGTACGCGCAGGTTTCAGCCCATGTTTGTCCTAAAGACGGATCTGTGCTGATAGCCATATCGGCCAAGCAATCTGGCCACTTCGACCGTGTCTTCGCCTACCGTTGGTCCCGGCACGGTCTCCAGAAAATGGCCAGCATCGCTGCTGTCTCCGTCGGCTCTGTCGCTGTGCTTGGCAACTCGGACGCGTGCCTCGTGGTGGTCGGCCAGAGAAGAGTGGCTGGAGTGGACACGCCCACGTCCGTATACAGGTACTTGTCATCATTCGTTACGTGCTTCATCCATTTTCCACCGCCTTCAATCCTTCAATGCTTTCTTTACGCTACTTTGTATCCTCTTACGTAGACCCGGACAGCTATTTGGTGTTTTAGTCCAGCTCCATGCCAGCCGAGGCACTTTGCTTACAAGAGATCCATTGAAGGTTGTCGGCTACGTGCGAATTCTCCGAGGGCTAACGGGACGTCTATGAATGCTATAATCGGAAGTTAAACTGATTGACTGTTACACGCTGTGTATCGAATACAGTATACTGACCATGTCGCTATTCCATAGGTGCAGAAAGTGATCAGCTGTGAAATGCACTACACACGTCATTCAGCATTCATCGCACGCTATCAAACTAGCATCTAAAGTTGCTGCAGATTGCGTACCCTGTTCATGGCTGTTATAACAAGAGCCTTTGTACCAGGAATTGTTACCCAATTTAAGATGCTTGTTGATTGCCTATTGGATTATTTGCTTGCAAATTATAGTATTTAGTCTCACCAGCCCTAAACTGCCACATACAGCTGCTGCAACTGTTTCACTCCGCAGGTAAAACGATTACACACAGAGCCCCATAATTGGTTATTACCCAAATACATTTACCTTGCATTGGTGCTCTTATTTTTGGCGGAATAGGCAAGCAGTGACTTGTTGATAAACAAACCTCACGAAAATGACTGCACCTTCGTCTAGATTTGTCATGCGTACACTTGCGGCGCGGAGTTTGGTCACGCCAAAGGTGCGTTCACAGCTTCGTCACCCACTAAGGGTAGGTGTAAGGATTTCCAAGAAAAGCTTCTAGTCTGAAATCTGATTACTTGTTTATAATCCACCATTTGCTTTTAGCAAGTGTCGTTGAAAGCGTATATCGGCTGCTTGTTTCTTTTTTCATCCAGTTACATGCCCGGCCACAACCAGGAGCTGCTGGAAGTGCAGAGGTTATTCGCGGGTGACGTGCAATCCATCAGCTGGTTGCCGTCGCCAGATGGCCGCACGAGCCTAATGTTCATCCGCTCCAGTGGAGCGGGAAAAAATCTAAAGGTCTACGCTTTCAAAGGAGCCTCCGGTTTTCTTGAGCAGCATTCTCTTCACGTTGATGGTACTGTTCCGTTTAATCACATAAGTGTATCATTACTGACCATGTTTTTCCTCGCTGTATCGTATGGGCATGTTTGCACGCGCTACGTTCTATGGATGAAATTGTATTTGCTTTATGGGTTCTGTGACAAAAGTACAAGCTCCGTGAACAGCTAGCCAGGTTGACTACAGGCTGTTCAGTGGAATAAAACGAATATAATTGCAGTAAACTCTTTTTTTTTTTTGTACTCTCATCATGCCCTGGACGAACTCAAATTCCTTACCTAGATTTTTTTTCCCTTGCAGTATATTGTATTACAATGTTCCTGTCGGGTTTGGTAGTGTTTTTACTTTACATCCTGTTGCACAATTCGCGATTTTCCTGAACACTCAAACTTTGACTCTCTACAATGTCTGATTTGTGACAAAAAGAAAAGCTGATCCGAGACGATGCTGTATAACGGCACAAGTCGCATCATTTCGACCATACTGTACTTGCCCGAGTACTACTCGGATCTGTTTCTGTATGTCGCACTCACTGCATGCAAATCATACATGAAAGGTCAAGCTCGTTAAAATTTTGCTTGTATTATGGCTAATGTTGTATAAAGATTCATGTGGGCCTTGCATCACCAACATTCTCATCAATCGCAATCCACGAGCTCAGATGCTGGCTTTTTTTTTTTTTTCAGAATCCTTCCGGGAGGTACGGACTTTCCGAAGGGCCGATAGCATGCACTTCATCACGCTGTCGAACAGCCGCGAAGAACCTTCTGCAGCTATCTTGGCCTCCAAGGTCAAGGGAACGCCTTACAGCCATCCTTAAGGGGGCATTTGTTCAGGGTTCTTCTTAACATACTTTTACCACTTGTTGCGTCTTAATCCTCTACACTTGTTATCTGGTTCATAGAACTGTAACGACGACATAATACAATAAACTTTTACGTTTTTACAACTCGTTACTCTGTTTCTTGTTCTGCCTTGGCACGTCGTGCGGTATAGCTGTTTCCAGAAGGGACGACCCTTGGGCTTCCCCGTTGTTTATCACACTTCAGAAGCCATAGCGCAATTAACGAACACGAAGCAGACATGGCAAGAAGCGGTCTTCTCTTCTCTGCTTCTTGTCCAGCGTTCGTTATCGCATTTTTTTCAGAACGAAGTACGCTAACGGTCTATCTTACGTTGCGGAAATTCACTTCGTTAAAAAAAAAAAAGGCACCCAGCAGGACATTGCAGTGGCGCTGTTTACATAAATATTTCATCAGTTTTCAGTGCCACAAAAATGCTCTCGTTAAATTCTTTGATTGGGATCGCTGTCATAGGAGTGTATACAATGGTTGCCCGACCATCAAACCTCTCATGACGCGAGTTCTATAACGCGATAGCGTCAACATTTTGTAGAAATTTCTGTGTCAGCGTCGTCGGTTGCCAGCGAAAGTTTATTTTTTTTTTCACTCTTTCCCTGAGTGGAAATACGAGTCCAGGCCGTCTGCGTAGCAACCAGGTGTTCTATCACAGAACCACGATATTCCTTGGACCTGCCACAGAAACGAAAAAAATAAATATCGTACTGATGTCGTGAAATAGAAGGAGGCTCCTTAACACGCGTAATATTCCGTGACAGAAGCGTTTAATCGCGGAAGGCGCCAAACTATGTAGCTTTCGCAACGAATAAGTGTTTTAAACGCCCACGCATTACAAAATGCTAGGGCATATCTAATCATCGGCAAAAGCACAAAAAATTGGCTTGTTCGAGAGTTTCCTCACGGACACGTGTCGCGCCCTTCACCGATTCTCAAAAAGGAAGAATTATGGCGTAGTGGGCACTGAACTGTACTTGCAGTAAAACGCGTGCAGTCGTTAAAACTTCCTCACGTCACGGTTGAGGCAAGCACCGAGAACCGAAGAGCAGGCGATGCGCACGGGGCCCCACCACTCTCTAAATACTCCTGAAGTCAATGCGCAAGTGTTTCTTTTTCCTCGTCGTGCAACGCAATCTAATGTGGAAGTTCATTCACTACAATGCTTTGCAAGCACGTGCGCCTCTGCTGTTCGAAGTGTTCTGCGCATCTCCAATCTTCCGAAACCTTGATGGTACAGTGAACGAATTAATCAATTACTTAAATGGCAATAGAAATGTGCGAGCATGTCTGAACCTGTTCCATGCATTCACAAAACGGGTGTCTCATTTTCTGCTTTCAACGCGAAGCAATGAGCCCCGCATCTTTGGCACGTGCATGCGTTTCCGCAAAAACCAGCAGCCACCAACCACAAAAACCACTGTTTTACATAAAGGCACGTCGTATCGTATATTTGTTTGTCTTGAATTAAGTCTCGGATTTCGCGTCTATAGTTAAAACTTTTTGCAGCAAATAGACTTGCTCATGTTCGTGCGGATTTCACTGCCCTGCGCGCATATGACTAAACTTTTGGTAATTACAGCAAACAGCATTCTTTACCAGTCACATTTTTTATTTTAATGGTGCGATAACAAGTCAACAGCACAGCCTTATGAAATTGACTACGCTCCCTTGCTTTAAACTCTGTCACACGTCAACGCAGATATACTCTCGGCCAAGTAGTGTCCAGTCGAATAGGTGAGTGTGCGCAATAACAAAAGAACACATGTGGGACGTTTCACAGTAAAAAAAAAATATTGTCTCGAACCAGTGTTCCTTCGTGGAATACTACATATAAAGTTATTCGTGCTCTTTCCACAGCTGCAAGCCCTTGGAACCTTTGCGTCGTTCTGCCGCAGCTTCTGGAGACTTAGTTCACAAGCCGATCTCACTTGAAATGCCATTAATTGGCGAGGACTAGCACCCTGATTGTTTGCTTGACATCTGAAAGCCTCCAGACGCCGATTCGGTCGGTTGTTGCATCATACCGGTATTTGTAGTGATATGTGACGCGATCACGGAATACTGCTTCGAGATCGCGACGCTATATAGTGGAGAAATGGGAAGGTATCCTTCAGTTGCTGCTGGCCCATTCTTTTATGAAGAATGGTACCATTGGTGAATCATGCGACCTACGTACCTGTTAAAGAATGGACAAAAACAGCACTGTAGCACGAATAGCGGTATTTAGCGGATCAGGTCGGGCACCTGTAGAAATAATGGTTCAAAGCACATTACCGCATTGCCAAACCATAATTGTCCAGAATACGGTCGACACCACACCATAAGTCTGCGTTAAGACAAAGGACGACCTGCAGGGAACGCGGAAGATGTCCCTCCTGTCCAGTTATGCATGACACTATAGGGAGACCATGACGAGACAAAGCGTTTACGTTAGTCTTTCAGACGTCACGCACATGTCAAAAAGCAGTTTATGCCGAGTTGTGTGCGCATAGAACTTCTCGACACTCAAAATCTTCTCACAAACATGCCGTTCACCAGAAAGCGTTGCCCACGAGACCATGCAAGGTAGTGCCAACTCTCAAAAGTGGCAGTAAATACCACGGTAGCTCAGAGTTCCGTTGCACACCGACGATGCCAGGTCGTTAAACCGTCTTGCTGTAATCGCGGGACGCTGTTCCAGAGTCGACGTGGTTTGCAGCGAGCAACGGCGCTGTTAGCTCACTGCATAGTTTGTACGAACAAGAGATGTGTCCACCGTTAGGCACTTGGGTCGAATCCATCCACCGGATTTGTATGTGCCTTGACGTAGTACACGCTGCCATTCCTGTTCTTGCGTGACATGAACCTCTGGTAGAGGTTTTTCCGTTTAATCAGCAGTATGGCCGACAGCAAGATAGCGCTGATACTGAGCGCCCCGACAACCAACACGCCCGTGCGAAACGTGCTGCTCTGTTCGCGCTCGACTCGCAAGCTCGGACAAGCAAAAACTTCGTCGGGCACCTCCAGCATAGGCTTGTGCTCGTACGCAGGTGGGCCTCCGCACCTGCGAAAGAAAAGCCAGCTAAATCAACACAAAGCGGCAAGGCTTGCCGCGTTGGCCGCGTTGAGGACTTTATAAAGATCATTATAAAGGAAATAACACCAGTGCCCCCCACCGTATGACCAAGAACATGGACACATCCACCTGCGAGTCTAATCCAAGTGATTATTGCAATGTGTGCTACTCAGTTCATGTTCGAACTTACTCCGTATGAAAAGGGGGAGTTAGTTGGTCTACATCAACATGAATGTAAATATGGTGTACTTCTGAGGTACGTCTGATTACGTAAGTCGAAGAACAGCTAATTCCACTGACCAGTTTATTCCATAATTACGTGTTAGTTTTTTGTTGTAGTTGTTTTTCATCATTGAGGACAGAAGGTTTCTTGTAGTGGATACAGCAGAACATTCGCTGCTGGCTATGTATAACTTCCGGACAGCAAAGCGACGAAGCAAGCGTGATCGTATGAAGATTCTGAAATGGTTTGCCGCGTTCTGGGGCACCGTTTAGTTCTCTGTGTGGTTCGCACATGCGGGCACAGAGCTAGGGCAGTGTACCCTTCGAGAGGCAGAGCTCACCTTTATTCACAAGCAGTTGGTGTCATTATTGAAGCATATGAAACGTCACAGGGAAAATGAAATTGGCTAGCAATTGTCTCCTAAAAGAGACACTCTTTCCAAAATGATGCAACAATTTCCACTTTGTTCTTATTTCTTTCATTTTGCAAGCTTACCGAAAATGGTCTCCGAGAAAGTTACTATTTTAGCATAGTGCTACAAGAGGACAAATTGTGGCGCCACGGGTGAAGTGAATCGACCTAATTCATTACCTTAAGTGAAATCAACTAGATGACCCCCTCAGGGCTATCTCTATCTTGCCCACATAGACAAATACCAAGGAAAAGTGACGATAGACGGAAGCCGAAGTAGATGTATTGGTTAATAAAAGTTCCTCTTGAGTTCGTTTTAACATGCAAAAAATCTATTTTGTCCACTTTAATTTTATGGGCAATGCACTTCAAAGTCTCGTCTAGTCAGCGTGCGTTGTCGTCCTTCATGAACCCACAAAAATGGGGGCAAATCCCCCTACTCGGCACTGGTACATACTCTGCATATTTTGAGATTCGTTGGTGCTACCTAAAACATTATATTTAGCCATTATGTTTAGCTTAACAGCGGCGTCAGAATGACCAACAAAACTCAAGATTTTGTTTTTATCAACACGCTCAAGACTTTTTACATATAACCGAGGGCACAAATGTTCATCTTTGCGGTAAAGTCGTCTACTTGAAACGCCACTTCTTGAAACGTATATCTGCGAAGTGATGGTGTGTTAGCGGACTGTTGGCGAGTAAAGCAGTAAAGATTTTGCTGTGGCAAACACAGGCGCACTCTGCATGCTACACGGTAGTGGAGTTCCAGCAACCTTCCCTACATGCCCCTTCCCCATAATTTTAGGGGCGAAGCTCCTTAGGGCGTGGGCTGTGCGTCCCCTGTAGCCTGTATGTAGCCACCTCTAGTTTAGTTCTTGCAGTGTTCACTAGATCGCGGTACCATCCCCTGTATGTAGCCACCTCTAGTTTAGTTCTTGCAGTGTTCACTAGATGGCGGTACCGTCTCCTGTATGTAGCCACCTCTCGTTTAGTTCTTGTAGTGTTTACTAGATGGTGGTACTTGTAGCTGATGATGAAAAGATGCAAGATGTTATAAACTAGAAAGCGGTACTTGTAGTTGATGAAAGACGCAAGATCTTATAAAATAGGAATGATGTCACATATGGCGCGTGTCATTCGTTGAAGGCAATCGTTCGATTTAGTGCGGCGACGTACGCTAGGGGGAACGATGTAATAAAATCGAGTGGGCAAAATGTACAGAGGATTCATGGTTTACCAGGTTTACCTCCGGAGCTTCGCCCACTCATCATCATTCACTTCGTGGATATGGAGGAATTTTTATTTCTTCTACATTTTGACGTTTCAGAATTTCAAATAAACATTCATATATTTCCTAAATATATGCTTTATATGATTTTAGGGTCTGTTTACGTGACTAACAAAAAAGATACCATCACAATTTGCTTACTTCTCACAATGCGGCAATCGGAATCTTGGCTGTGGGTACCATATTTACACAGACATGGCAATTTCACGTCTTCGTAACAACGTCGCGTGTAGACATCACATTCCTGGTGTGAAGAAAACCTACCAGTTCTATAGTTAGCTGCTGCGTCACTCACCTGAGTTGGACTGTCAATTCTTTCTGCAGTGGCAACCTTCGAATCCAGGCATTGTTGCAGTCACATACCCAGGGATTTCCCTGGAGGTCTAAGATTTCAAACTCTCTCCACGGTGCGACGTCTTCGTCCAGATACTCGATGTTGTTGTTCTGCAGATAAAATTCTCGCAAGGTCCAATTGGCCGCCGGTTCGACGCGCCAGAACACGCCGAAAATGTCGAGGTCTATGCTTTTAAGCTTGGGATTATTGCCCAAGAAAAGAGACCTCATTTTCTTTTGGTATGCGAAGGTGTCGCCTTCGACAGCCTCCAAATCTTTCATTTTCTCAACGTACAGTTCTTCGATGTTGTGCAGCTTGAAGAAGGAGTTGTAACCAAGCGTGCCCACTGGATTGTCCGACATGACTAGAACTTTCAGACTGTCAGCGCTGCGCAACGCACTGGAGGGCACCTTATCGAACAGGTTGCCGGACAGGTCCAAATGAACGAGGCGCGGCGTTTCGTGGAATATGCCGTCCGGCAGCGAGTGAGCATTGATGCTCGACAGTTCCAGACGCTCAAGGTTGGGCAACCTGAACAGCCCATCCCGCAAATACCGCAGTGGGTTCATGTTCAGGTTCAGCTGTTCTAGGGACACCAGCGGTCTGAACAATTCTGTAGGCGGGTACGTTAGTTTGTTCCCGCTGAGATTCAAGGCCCGCAAACTCGTCATGTTTACGAAGACGTCCCCGTGAAGAACTTCGAGCGAGTTCTTGCTGAAGTCTAGGAACTGAAGCCGCGGGAAGGCGGAGAACACCCGCGGCTCTACGATCGCGATCCGGTTGTCGTGCAGGTCCAGCACCGAAACGTTGGACGGTTCCAGGTGCGTGATGTGGTCGATGAAGTTGTGGCTCAGGTCCATCTTGTAGATGTTTCGTGGCCAGACGCTGCCTGCGGGAACGATGGTGAGTCCCTTTCGCGAACAGTCGACCTGCACCGAACTCTCTTTTTCCGGGGACTCGTTCCACAAGCAGCTGGCGCGCAGGACGTTCGTGTTGGCTTGGCAAGACGATGCCACTAGGGCGACGATCGAAGCGACTAGACAACGCCAAGCCATCCTGAAGCCTGCTCAGTTCCGCTTTCGACTGTTACTTTTCTGCAAAAAAATGAAGAAAGGAAAAAAAATTAAATGACGGGACCTCCCACGCGACGAACACAGTTTCGTCTACACCCCCCCCCCCCCCAAAAAAAAAAACCTCTGCTTCTCACCAAAAACACGATAAAGTAGAACGGCAATGATGAGGGCAGTAATAGGCAAGTAAACAGTGTAAAACTACCGACGAAGTAAGCATCGGGCAACGCCGATATTTGTTGTTTCGTTTAAGTGCCACTCTTCTACAGGCTGTGCCAGCCCTGTTGCCAGCGCGGCAATGCGCATCAATAACGTATGCTGTCGGGCTAGTTAGTGCATAGCTGGCAAGGAGAGAGAGAGAGAGATAAGTTTATTTACAGAAAGGCAGAGAGGTCGGCCTGAGCTGGCTGGGAAGGAATTCGTAGATGTAGAACGAGGACGAAGCCGAGCAACGGTTTCATGAAAGTCATTCGCGATCCGCGTTCCTTCTTCGTTTTCGTTTGACGAATTCTTTCCCAGCTATGTCGCATCTCGTGACCGAATTTCAGTATTTGTCTTCCTTTTATTAAATAATGTTATCTGGTGTGTCCGTAAAAGCGCTATACTCTGCTTAAATGCTTGGAAAGCCGCCTCAAGTTGAAAGCAGATGTCTAGCTGAGTAAGCAACTGTTAGCAGTGTGTTTATCCAAGAGGGAGTATTTTGGCCAGTTGTCTTGTTCTAAAGATAAGTGAGCTGTTCACAAGAAACAATAGGATTGTGGAAGTTAAACAAAAAAGCTTTATACATACTAACAAATGGAGTGTAGCGGTAATAATACATGCATATATTAGTCAATTCATTATGTACAGATGATATAATATTCAGAACAATTTTATAATGACTTTTTTAGCCACGTTGCTATCGCGCGACTTACGCTTTGCGACATGTGACAAGGCACTCTCTCAACTGGCTCGATTAAACGCGGTGCTCACTTGCCCATCTGTCGCAAGTACGATATCAACACGGGCGACGAGTGAAAGCTATAGCGTCAAGAGCATCGAACGTATACGACGCACAGAGGCTTCCATAGATACGCGCCCACTGTTCACAAGGCGAAAAACGTATATTCACAAGGAACGCTAAGCAACTCTCTGCGAACAACCTGCTTTTGTTCATTGACGGCCAAGGCCCTCTCGTTGGCAGAAAGTAAGAAAGTTATTTTTTTGTGGCAAAGCTGGCCGAAACAAAGTAAAAGTTCTCGCCTTGAGAAGACCGGGTGTTGTCAGCAGGCGGTCACAAGCGCTGTATGCCGGCTTATCTGGGCCCAGAGGCGTCCTGGAGGAAGAAAGGACGGCATGTATTGTTGGCTCGAGGAGGACAGCGAACACTCACGCCGCGCGTATCCATGGTTACGAGATAGGAGCTAATCACGGCTGTCGCCTCGATTGCACGGGGCACGAAAATATACCGAGCTCCCCTGCAGGCCTCACCCTCCAATTTGCGCGATAGATGTGCATGCAGTGCAGCCAGCGACGTGTCACGACAATTACGCGCCGCTCAATCTCAGACCCGCCAGGGCTAGGTTGAAGGATGTCACTAAGGTAACAAGCGAATAATCATAAAAAGTAAGCAAAAGAAAAATAAAACACGAATGACTTTCGCAAAGGAGAATCCCCCCCCCTAAAAAAGTGAAACGTGACGAATTTTTTAATTCTGTAAATTACATTTCAACAAAAAAAAATGTCCCTGAAATATCGAGAGGAGCAAAAAAATTCACTTGAATTATCTTGTACAGCGGAAATACGCCCAACTATAAACGAAAGCACATATTTATTTTATAAGACTGTCTTCAGCAGAGATTCTATTCAGTTGAGTGCACGTTTTCCAGCGTACAATTAAAGTTACTTGTTTATCACCCCAACATAGGCATGGCGTCAACACTTGGCTGCCCAAGGACGTCGACAAGCAAGGAACGAATGAACATTAAAGTAACTATATTCACTAAAACAATAAAAATACCCCCCCCCCCCAACCACCTAAAAAAACACAAGCGACTGAAGAGTTCTACAAGATACTCGGCGCAAAAAGAAGCCAAGATCCGCCTGTTATGCGCGGAACTGTAAACTGAGCCAGGGACGGAATTACGCAAACCGCGCGAGCACAGTGCGGTGCAAGTGTGCACCGGTGTCCCACCGAGCGTGTGACGCGAACGTATCCGGCGAGTGAGCGCACGCTCCCACGTGTTGCCTCGTTTCCATTTACCTCACTCGAGTGACATGCTGGGTGTTTCATTGTGCCGAACCGCTGCCTGCATACGCGCACAGACTTAATGCTGCCTCACCGGCGGGTGTGCAGGCGCCTTGTTTGGGACAAGGGAAACATTTTTGCTGCAACACAAACGGTTCTTTTGTGCTTCCCAACGAATAATTATTCAATTTATCCTTAACAAAAAGTGGGGCCATGAAAGATGCAGATTGCTCCACCTCGTTTAGCCATACCACGGCTGCCATATAATTTTTGTTATATAGCGGCCGCATCAAGTTATATTGTCATTCTGTGTAAAAACAAAGACCCAGCGGGACCACTGGATTTTTCACGATGTCCATTGTGGGTTCCCGGCATGCTGCGAGAGAGGTGGCCCCACTATGGTTGCGATTACAAAAGAACGACTCGAGGACATGTCGCGTGCAATCCGCACGGCGTAAGTGAACTTACAGGCGCCCATGTTTTCAGACAGCCCAGCTCCCAGCATCAAAGCCATGGTCGACTGCAAACTCAGCGCAATTCTGTGCTAGTTGCTAGCCTACGTAAATGCGACCAAATAATTGGCTACCGGTACTATAGTACCAGGTATTTATGATAATAACCTTTATGTGTTCAGTGGTTCACACTTGCACCTATAATTACTAATGCAATTTGTTATAATGGGGACATCAGTGAAATATCATTTCAGAACCCTCAGAAGCCCGCATATCTTCCTCTTTCATCATCACAAGAGGTGCTGGACTTCGGCACTGTGTAAACACCATGCTTGAGCCGCTATACTTTCTAAGCTGGTCCCTCTCTCCGTTTCCTTGATGCCTGACAGCATCAAGGAACCGGAGAGTGCCCCTCTATTTCTTAAATTACGCTGGGCCTTATTTTGTTCTAACGTGTGCAACTCCACATGCCACTCGTTCAGAGCAAGTGCCTTAAAAAAATAAACTGATCCTCTTCATTCGATAGCTTTGAACGGCACTTCGCTATAAGAAAGAGAGAGAGAAATGAAGTCGAAAACCGAGGTTATTAATGAAGGTTGTGTTCAATTACGCCCTTAGATTATTGACATCAATAGTTTAAATATTATTGATGATATGAATAAGCAATTTTAAAGGGATACTATTGTGAAATAACAATTTACGTCATAGTGAAATCTAGCTCAATGTATTACAACATCTAAAACAACAATATTATGAACAGCAGTGCCCTACTTACCGATAAATGAAGGTAAATGCACGAGAACACATATGCCACGAGTAGTACATTCGCAAAATGATCCCGATGACGTCAAAGTTACCGCTTACAATTAATCGCAAGTAATCAAACTAGCTGCACTACATAAAGAACCTTCCGTGCATCCAGAGACGTAATAAAATGCTATTCATTCGTTTCTGTTTGATTCATGGAAAAAAGAACCACCGGACGTTACCATGAGGAATATGGTGTGAGTGGTTCAAAAATTCAATTTTCACGGTTGAACTGGACAGGTCGTGTCATCTAGCGGGGCCCAGTTGAACCAAGGACGCCTGCCCTTTCGGAGGCCATGGCAGCAAATCCTTCAATGGCCGTTGTTGCTGCTGTGGTTCCCGCTACTTTCGTTCTGCTGCTACCAGTGTCGGCGGCCGTGCAGTAAAGTTTGGCCTCGTCTTGCACGGCAACAGTGACGTGAAAGTTTCCACTTGAGTCGGGTAACTTGAAGTGTGCTAACGCGATGCCGAGCACTAAAACGCGCTTTCATTTCAAAATAAGCACTCCCTTGGCACAAAACTGGCAATACGAGGTTTCTGGACTGCTATTTCAGCAACCAACATCGACTTGATATTTGTCTTTAGTTTCCCTTTAAAGCCCAATGAGAATTTTCGCATGGCATATACGTAAAGTGTCAAATCATTCCATGTGGACAGATGCGCTTTTATAGGATACTACAGGATATCTGTCGTGTATGCCTACGAGGCAAATCTATATATATATACGATTTTCACCACATGCACCCGCAATGAATACGGTGACGAGTTGTTTCGCATACTGTGATCAACACTTCTGGTGCACCTTCCTGACGTGGTTGATTCGATTTTGATTTAGAAGTACAGGAATACGATAACTTGTGCACGGTGGAACTAGCATCGACTACTAGGTACATGAAAACGGGGTCGGTTAAACTTAAAGGGGCCATGCGATGCGGTCACCCACTATGTTGCAGTTTTCCACGAAATAGAACAGAAGTGTAGACGATCTATTGTGCCTGTAATTATACGGAAAAGTTTACTGTAAAAAATAATATTTCATCACAAAATGAAAGTCGCCGGATATAAACCCGGCCCAACGCTGGCGACCATCACTTTGCCATGGCATCTTGTGTTTCATATAGTCATAAATGACTGCCAATCTGGCAGTTTTCAATGCAGAAAGCTGTAGCATTGTACGCGAAGCTGACCACGAAATTAAATCGTTGGCAGGAACACCGCTCGCAAAGCAAGCGGCCTTTTACGTCACGGCTTTCGATGTGTCGTTGTTGTATCGCGTGTTTACGAAAATACTCGTTATAAATTAAACTATCGACCAAATGCGCTGAAATCTCGCAAGCTTGTTTGGGAACACCCAAGAATTAACTCGCATAACATGAACGAAAATTAGGTGTCATAGTGCCTTGAGCCAACCCCCCCCCCCCCCTTTTTTTTTTTTCACATCTACACTCAGTTCTTGTGACAGTATGCAGAGAAAAATGAATAGCCCTGTAAGGTCCTTAGAATCGCGCAAAAGCTAATGAGTCCTACAAGCGTGTCCTTGGCTTCCATACATTGCATTCCGTACACTGATCCGCGCCGCCAAAACTAGAGCAAACAGGGACTGCGCTCGGAGACATAGTCGACCGGGTCACCATAAATTGTGTCAACTAAGTGCTGCGAGGCTCGTCCGCGTATAATTAGAGCCACCTTGTAGACGGCTCGATCCAGATGCTTTATCAGGAAGCCGATACTCTAAGAGGTGACGCAAGAAGTCGCACAAGTCCATGCCGCGGTCGAGTGCTTTTCGTCGCACTGCGGGTGGTGCATCACTAAACGCTTCGACGACTTCTCCGCCTCGCATTCGGGTCACCCGCGAGCGTCAGAAATTATGACTGCGTGTTGTCGCGCATCCAGGAAAAGCTGTAAACCAAAGGAAGCGCTGTCACCGTCGTCAGTTCTTCGTATACAACGTGGTATTACTACTAGGAGAGCGTTCGTCTTCCACCATGTGTGTGCCTTCTTAGTCTGGTCAGCCGTTGAAGCTTGAACTTCACAAGCATTCGCAGAGTTCTCCATGAGTGGGGTAAGCCAAGTTTCACGGCAGCCTCCCCCCTCGACCCTCTCAAAAGCAGTACACAAAGACAAGAGGTGTTTGTTGACGTGCTTGCTATACTACCAGATTAATCCTATACTCCTTAATGCTCCTTAATGCTTAATCCAGATAATGCTATACTACCATTAATCTTGCTCACAATTTGCGATTTCTCTTTGCATAAATATTTACATAAATAATTTCAATAAACAACATAATCGCAGATAACCAATGATTACGATCGCAAATAACATGTAGTACCCATATCGGCAAACGTACATGAATATACGATACCATGTATTTTAACTAAAATAACATAGTTTCTTCGTAGGAAGCACTGTTTCCACTAAATGTCACGAAGAGAAAAAAAGACAGAAAAGGCTATCTGTTCTGTATATTCTAGGACGGTGCACGTGAACTGATTTGTTTCGTTTGTCACAACGCGCGCGCATCAAGAACCAAAAAGAACAACAGCCCCCCCCCCCACTCTCCGCGCCAAAGAAAACACGAAAGAAAAAAGACAGCGTTCTGCAGGCCAGAAAGGAGGTATTACTCGAATGCTGTTACAGCACACATCCTGTTTGCGCAAAACGACTGAACAAGCGCTGTTTCGACTGCCGTTACGACCACACAGCCTGATCCTGCGTAAGTGCATGCTGTGTCGTATGCCATGGTGGAGCTCCGAAGGTTTGCGCCTCATTGCACAGCTGCTGCATCGGAAGGAACGCGGCCGCTTTGCTTCTGTGACTCCAGATGTCGTTAGCTGTTGTTAGGCCCGCTATTCGACCCTGACGCAAGCGCACAGCTGATGGACATTAGGGGCGACCGCTCATCTGTGCAGCGAAATCCGGTTATAACGGGCTTTCGACTTTGCTACCACGACTAAGCAGGTCTAATCGCACTAAACATGTTAGTCAAATAGTAGGTCACACTGCGCGCCATAGACTGGTTCTCTTTTAATTCATAAGCAATAGTGAACCTTCATAGATTGGCTGTTTTTATATATTTGAAGCAACGACACCGTTTCACAAAATGGCAAAAAACTGCACAGTGCAAATCAGCTACGTTCTGTCGTATCACGTTACAAAACCACCACCTGTTTTAGGACACGCCGTGGAGTAGGTGTCTACAAATTTAGTTTCGCCACTCACGGTGTCTTTTACGTACACTTAAAATTCAAGTTTGGAACTCTTTTCGCATTGCGTGCCCATCAAAATGTGGTCATCGCTGCCGGTATCAAACCTTCATACATTAATGAGGGTACGAGAAAAATTTTTTTAAATTGAATATCGAATCAAATAGTGCCTCTTTTGATCTGGCCTTCGAACTGAATAGCTGATATTCGTGAATGTTAGTATTTTTGTAAATAGTGTGCGAATATTCGAACGTGTTAACTGGACCCTAATAAACACAAGATTTGTTGAAAACTACGATAAAGCTATTCCCTGCGACCACAGTGCATAAAACATGAGAGTTTATACAGTGCAGCCGGCTACGTCAGTTGAAGAGCCAGGCTATTTGTCAGCTGCATAATGGGAATTCGCACCTTGAAAATGTCTATGCATGCGAATGATCTGCTTATTTCTTCCCGATGGCCCCCGTTTGTGATTTAAACTCTGAAGTTATGAATGCCTCGGATGCGAACTTATTTTGTATTAATTGTAAATAAAAAAGTATTCGAGTCAATTCAATTCGAACACTAATTGATCAGGTTGAAATATTACTATTCCCTAATACCTCACAATTAACAGTGCTGCGCACAGGCATGAGTGGTGCAGCTGCTCTAGATGGTGTACGCCACACTGGCTGCATGTCGTTCTACTGCTCAGTACATAGGCCGTGAGTTCGATTCCCGGCTCCAGCGGCTGTATTCCGATGGAGACGTAAAACAAAAACGCTGATATATTCAGATACAGGTGAACATAACAAAAAAATACAGAAAGAGAACAGGTTATTAGTGCAGAAGAAGCGCTATAATATTTTTGTGGAAAATAATACGTGTAGTTTTTAAAAGGAAGCACATCAAACTCTATACAGGTGCGACGCAATTTGGTTTTCACTTGAACAAAATAGATAGAAACATGGGTACGATATAACATGAAAAGTTAACTACGCTAACTGGCACGTACTGTTCGGCATCTTGATCGGACACAAAACACGAAGATAGTCGGAAGTACGACGACACGGGCGGTAACTGAGGGACAAGATGTCCAGCAGTAAACATCAACTAGACCACATTCAAGTTCTTATGTGCCTTCCATTGACCCCACGAATACTACATATCTGGTCTGAGCAGAAGACGAGTTAGGTAAGTAAAGGTAGATTTACCTACAATAGCGCCTCCAGTTCAATAAGACACCCCGAACGTAACAATTAAGTCTAAACCCTTAAGTGCCTCATCAGACACCAAACACCAAACACCAGCATGAGTGATGCAAAAATGTCATCATCACGTAATTATCTCACAACATGACCTCGCAGATCGTCATATTTTGTGATGTAAGTATGTAGTTATCATGACGTCATGACACGTGACGTTACATGACGACGTCATTGCATGCCATCATAGCTTGGACAATGGTGTGCCGACCACGAAAGCAGGGCGAATCCACGTTATGTGCAGAAAGCTTCCGAAAAAGGTCGGGCGTCAGCGCATCAACCGAGAAGAAAAAGGTGGCATTCGAGTTCGAGTCGTGTTAGGCGAATGTATGAGAAACCATGTACGTTTCCATCATATTATGCGAACAAACTGAACCAGACACGAGATTAAAGTGTTACTACAAGCGTGCGCAGGGTTCCGTGCGCTAAGCTAGGTTCGTCAAAGGGCCCACCTCCTCTCTGCTGAGTGAATGTATGGAGGGCAGACTTCGCGCCTCCACCCCCCCCCCCCCCTCGGTGCGCATACCTATGGTTGTTACAACACAGATGTTGACGGCTATACTTCATGTTGTGTAACCACCGTTCATATAAAGCGAAATTCAACGGGCTGCACTAACATATGGGGGACACCATCACGCCTTAGGCGCAGTGTCATCGGTGTGCCTTCAGCGATGTCATGACCAGTGGAAGCCTCTGCGCGTTTTGTTTTGGTAGCGACCGAGTCTTTTGTTTTGTCGGCTGGAAACTGAAAAACGGATACACTTCCATGTCAAGGTGTCCACAGGACGCGCTCTGTTTGCCAAGCAAACGCACTGTTCTACGTGCACGGTCTTTCTTTGGCGTCAGTCCCCCCGCTTAGTTGTATTTATTTATTTACTTTAATTTATATATTTATTTCGTGTGTTTCCGCCCATACAAAGCGAAGCCGTGCGTCGGGCTGCTCGCTTATGACAGGACGCACCTGTGCGGACGAAACGCCGCGCATTCTCCCTGCAAACACGTATACTCTCGCGCCAGCAAAGTCACTCGCGTGCCCCTACGTACGGACGGACACGCGACGATTAACGTATTTACATACGCACGTACCATACCCGTACCATAAATTGTGCTCAACTTTAAAGATGAACGATAAATAATAATTGATTCGTAGGCTTTGGTCTGCATCAAATATAAATACACGCATCATGACCTGTATGTGACTGAAGATTTACAAATAGCACGATGACTCAGACTGCCCGAAATGCAGGGGTTCGGATGGGTGCGCGCTGCTGGAAAATGTGCTACATTGTTCGTACGGGCACTCCCGCGTGAACACTTGTCCTTCAAATGAATAGTTTCATGGTTACATAAAGACTCTCGTGTGTTCTTGAATAAACTCTTGCACTTACGGACGCAGTACAGTGCTGGCAGACACATGTGGCTCACTCCGACAGCTAGTATGCTATCATGCCGCTTGTCAAGCCTCTCAAATCACGCTCCTTCATGGTGCGACATGCGGTATATGCGCATACGGCATACATTTCACTGAAGATGTCTTCGGCATTCTAACAACAGTCAGTCTAGCACATTCGTGTGCGTTATCTGCAAACCACAGCGTCGACGCAACAGCCCAACTTCAGGGTTTAGGCACTGTCCCATACGCTATATTTGTGCTGGCCGCCTCCAGGTCTCGGCATGCACACATCAAAGCAACGACTTGGTCGCCCATATATGGAACCGCAATCTTCGTCGCCTCAAGGACATCGTAGTGTACGCTACGCAACCAACCGCTTCGTGTACACGTTAAAGGGCGAAGGAAAAGCCACGTCCGCAAAATAAGAGGCGCATAAAAATGTCGCGTGGCCGCTTTAGCTGCCCACGAGGAGGAGCCATGCACGGTGAGGTCTTTCCTCGATGCCTTCACACCAATGGCGCATCGTTGAAAATGTCACTCAGATTACGTCTGGTTTAGTGACGGACCACATAGGCAGACGAGGCATTCGCGACCACAGCTTGCGCAGATGCATAAGGCGCAAAAGAGCTGAGCGCGCTATATGTGTCAGCCGCTGTAGCAGCGCGTTAAACAGCTGCGGCGTTAAGCTCCGTTGCCCTTGTTTCCCTCTCGGTTCGGCTAGCAAAAGAAGCATCACACCTGTAAAAATATTTACCTCTTTTAACGGTGCCACTTCAGTAAGGACATCAGGTAAACTGCTAGACGAGAAGCGACCACACATTCGCGACGTGAGCACTTCTTGCCTTTACTAACGACTAGCGTACGGTGTTTTTGGACACTCACATCAAACGGTTATTGAACAGGAACACATAAATACCTTTTACTGACTGTTACCGTTAATACGCTTGCCGACGGGGTTCTTAGCGCACCGTATTTCTGGGACACTCACGTTAAAAAAAAAAAGGTTTATTGACGAGGAACACGTAAACACCTTATACCCACTATATACGTACACTTACCGACGAGGATCTCCGACGGAACTGAATAAAGAAGTGAACGCTCACGCCCGGAGTGAAAACTCTTCGCCTGCGGCCCCATCGCGCACCGCCCGCCGCGTCGACCACGCTGCGAGTAATGCATCTCTCGCGCCAGCGGCGCCACACGTGATTCGCCCGGAGTCTCACCTGAACAGGCGCCTGCTCCAGCCGAGAGACGACCATGGCGGTAAGCCGTGCGGTAAACTCCAAAGCGAGGAATCGCTTCAGCGCCGGTGTAACGCGACGTATCGCGTCTCCATGGAATCGAATTCGGCTGCGTGGCGCGCGAGGGCGCCGCTTATTCGCGCAACCAAGGCTGCCGTCGCCGCAGCAGCCAGCGCCTCGCACCTGTGGAGCAGGAAGTGGCTGCGCAGTCGGCGAGGCTTTGTGTGCGTGCAAGTGTGCGTGCAGCGACCTTGCCTCGCCGCACGCAAGTATAAAAAAATGAAACCCCCGTTGCTGCCCACACAGCGATGGCAGCTCTGGCGAGGGCGTCCAACGGGAAAGAGAGTCCGTGCCGTCGCTCACCGTCAGCTACGCTACAGGCCTAACGGTGTAGGCCGCGCACCTAGCTCGTCTGCGAACTTCGGCGTTCTTTTTTCTTAACCTCGAACGATTTTCTCGTTTTCTTAGAAGGAGCCGGCACAAGTGTCTAAAACGCCACACGTCGGATTTCTTTTTTCATAATCTGCCATTGAGAGTGTCTTGGTTACGAGACGTCGTACCTCCGGGCAAGGGCCAGACAGGCTGCAGTGCTTGTTTGCGTTGTGCGCGCAACGCGTCCGCACCGGCTCGGCAGTTTTCGGAAGCGCGAGCAGGCACCACGTGCTCCCGTGAGGCCAGCGCCATTACTACAGAAAGGGGCGTGGTCGAGGCCGTCATAGGCAATTTCCTCCGGACCGACGTTTGGGGTGTGTTGTAATGTATTTTTGGATCACCGCTGAACCATCGCGAATGGCACGTCCTGCTTATCGAGTAAGCATGGTGCATGCTTGCTTTTTTTATTTTATTTTGTCTCAGAATAATTTAGTATCTCCTCTTTCGGAAACCCCGTGCGATTCCAAATAGCAGTGATTGTTTGTTCGGAGATGAAAACCAAGGCATTTTGGTCATCGAACAATAGGTCAAGCGACGACCACAAAAGAGATAGAAATGTGTACACGAACACTGCCTAAGATGCAGGAAAAGGTGTATCAATTTCAGCGCGCCCATTAAGAGAAACAGGCCAACTGTAGCGCTGACCTGCAGAAACAAAGTAAAGCGGGCGTTGAATTGTGTCCATTTGAAATAAGACCGCCACACACGGGGATAGCCCGAATGACTGGCCCAAAAACGGAGAAGAGCAAACGAGCGCAGGTCTCGAGTATATGAGCCCTTGTTTGTTCGAGTTCATGACTGAAACAATGTTTATATGTCTCCGAAAAAGAAAAAAAACTGTGTTGTTCTGAAATGTGTTCTACGAAGAGGCCGAAGAAGATATCGCGGTGTGGTTCGAAGTCCCACATAGCTTTTCCACCCTATACTCTTTGTTCTTTCTTTACCTCAGTAACGATGGCTCGTGTATTCAAAGCAGGGTATACAGTAGCCTAGGATCTCAGTCAGGCCCTTCTCATTGCCCTCTCCTTCCTGCTATACTGAGCCTCACCTTTCCTTCCACCCGCTTTTGCTATACCACAATACGATTCATGTTACAGGGGCTGCTTGGCCCATACCGACTTTCTGCGGCGTACACACGTTGTGCAAACGACACACGGTCCTATACTCGCGATCAAGCCGGGGCGGAGGAACGCATGCGGCGGGGACGAGCTCGCAAAAGAAATGTCATCATCATCATCATAATCGTTGTCGTCGTCATCATCATCGGCATCATCAGCAGCACCATCATCATCGGTATCATCATCATCATCATCATCATCATCATCGGCATCATCAGCATCATCCTGACTATGCCCAGTGCAGGGCAAAGGCTTCTCCCGTGATCCGCCAATCAACCCGGTCTTGTGCTTTCCGCTGCCACGTTATACCTGCGAATTTATTAATCTCATTGGTTCACATAACTTTCTGTCTCCCCTTCGTGCGTTTCCCTTCTCTAGGAATCCAATCAGTTACCCTTAATGACTTACCCTTAATGTCATTGTAATCAATCCTAACCACACGGAAAACTCGTTTTTAGAACGCCCGGGAAAACATCTACCGTTTGTCACTGCGTTGTTCACAGCGAGACCCGGAAATTTATTCTTTTTCGAACTTCACTGAAAGATTCGTTATTTTTAAAAGATTGTAATAAGCTGTGCTACGATTCTCAACAATGAAACCAGATCCGCGTCTGTACGTTCTCTTATTCCTTCTTTGAGTCGATTCAGAACGCGATTGCTGGCCAACTTTTCTTAATTTTCGATGGAATTTCCATTAAATTATTAGTATGAAGGATAACTCGAGGATAGCAAAACACACACAGAAATGAATTTCAAGGAAATTCGTATCTATATTCTATACATCGCCAGTGTTCTCTGGACACTGCAGTAATTACTTTATAACACCAAATCCTGCTGTACGCTGCATAAAAATATTAATTCATGGAATTTAACATCAGAAAAACCCCAATTTAAACATGAAAGATACCGCAGAGGAGGTCTCCGAAATTTCTACCACCTGGGGTTCTTCAGCGTGCGCCTAAATTAAGTACATGGGCCTAAAGCATTTTTCCTTCCGTCGAAAATGTGGCCGCCGCCCCGGCAGTGATTTGGGCCTGTGACCTTCGGATCACCAGTTCAGCCACGTAACCACTAAACCACCGTGGAGGGTTACTATGCGCTGCAGGTATCCTCAAAAGGTGCAGATGCAAACCAAAATAGTTTTCCGCAACACAGGTCTACGCCTATGTTGCTAATGAACAAGCCGCTTGGCTTCAGGACGACCAGGAAAGAAGCCCGTTTCAACCACTTCTTCGTAGCCGCTCTCAACTCTTCTTCCTCGTTCGCCGAGGTGCTTCGGTCGTTCGCGAAATGCGTGCCCCGCTCGCCCACTCGGAAGTGCACCGGGGAAGTCATCATTGTGAAAGGCTACGTCATACTCCCTGGCCGAAACGAGCGAGGCACTGGCGCTAATTACATGAAGTTAAAAAATAATGGAACGGGCTGCAGTTGCATAACGTAGCCACTTCCAGTAATTCCGCAGCGTTCCGTTGGCAGAAAATCACAGGTTTGATTCCTGGTTGCGTGGAAGCCTTACAGTGGAGTGTAGAAAGAAGGGGGCAAAATGAAACGTATTCCCGGCCACATGTGGCGTACGTTAAAAAAAAATTGACTGAAACGTAACATTTAAGAAGGTTGTAAGGTGCTGGGAACCCCGCAACTATTTAACAGGCTAGAGTCTCGTTCGTTATCGGAATCGACCTAATACAGCTCATTCCTTTTTTGTTTTGGTACGGCAAACACGACCGAACACCATAGGTCGTTTCGCCTTACGAACCATATCAACAGAAATGGGCGAAGTTTAGGCGCTCGAAAATGCGCACAAAGGCGTTCAGAGACGCTATGTTTGAAACTTTCCTATAGTATTGCGGAGGCAAACCGTCGGTAGGGACACACACACATAGTGTATACAATATATATATATATATATATATATATATATATATATATATATATATATATATATATATATATATATATATATATATATATATATATATATATATATATATATATATATATATATGTGTGTGTGTGTGTGTGTGTGTGTGTGTGTGTGTGTGTGTGTGTTCACGTTACAAGTTGCGTGCGAAATATGGCATCCCTAATTTTCAAAAATCACTAAATTTGCACGCTGTTCGAGACTTCCGTTGTCGAATTTCATTGAATAAATGGAAACTAGGGCACGCACGAATTGCGGTCGTTCTGCTACGCCACACCGGAACCACTCGCCACACAATGGGTGGGACGATATTTGAATGACGCCACGCCGCGGCTGTCTGTTTTCGTACGCCTCCCTCAGACAAGATCACTTTGAGGTAGCAAGAATACGCTCCCACCTTCTGTGGGCGGAAGTGTCATAACGGGTGATTCTTTTTATAATTCGCGTGCTTTTTCATCAGCCAAAAAAAGAGAGCACGTAATTGGTACGTTGCTGAAAGTAGTGCAGATGTCATTAGAGCAGCCTACAGATGCCTCATTGACATTTTTATGATTAGGTGACAACATGTCGAGTTAGAAACTGTTGGTGGGCCAGTTGGTACATACTGAGCGAGCGCCGAGACGAGACAGAAAATAAGAAGCGCACATCATCATCATCCTGACTATGCCCACTGCAGGGCGAATGCCTCTTCTATGATCAGCCAGTCAACCCGGTCTTGTGCTTTCTGTTGCCGCGTTAAACCAGCGAACGTTTTTAATCACGTCGGCCCACCTAACTTTCTGTCGCCCCGTCGTGCATTTGCTTTCTCTGGGAATCCAGTCAGTTATTTACCATAACGACCAGGGGTTATCCTTCCTACGTGCTACGTTCCTGCCCATACCTATTTCTTCTTGATTTCAACTCTGATATCATTTACCCCGGTTTGTACCCTGACCCAGCCACTCTCTTCTTGTCTATTAAGGTTCACACACACACACACACACACACACACACACACACACACACACACACACACACACACACACCACACACACTATATATATATATATATATATATATATATATATATATATATATATATATATATATATATATATATATATATATATATATATATATATATATAGGGGAAGTTGTTAGAACCAATGTAAGGTAAATAAGAAAGAAAAATCTGTGAAAAAATAACTTGCAGTGAAGCAAGTTAGCCGAGTGTTTACAATGTCCACCTGCGGATAGCGGATGTTAATCCCGTTTCACCATGAAACATTTTAGGGGCGAAGCTCCTTATACCGTGAATCGTGTGTCCGCGATATATGTAGTAGTAGTAGTAGTAGTAGTAGTAGTAGTAGTAGTAGTAGTAGTCGGTAGTAGCCACTTCTCGTTTAGTCCTTGGAATGTCCGCTAGATGGCGGTACTTTTATGTGATGAATATATGGGCTTTGTTACGTTTGTCCCGGCAGTTCGTCTGGGCAGACGCCATTAGAGAGTTTTAGTACTGCGGAATGCTGCTACGTACGCATCTCGCAAGCGCCTTGCGTTACGTGGCGTCATTTGCCACTAATCGGCTTTTAGTACGCCGTAGTACCCGCGTACGCAACGAGCGTAAAGCTTGTTGCGCCATCTGGTAGATCAAAATAGAAGTACGTGTTGTTCGCAGCCAATGTGAGCCAAACCAACTGTTAGAGCCAGATTATGGCCATACTTTATGTCAC